TATATATGTATATGTATATGTATATATGTATGTATATGTATATGTATATATGTATGTATATGTATATGTATATATGTATATGTGTGTGTATGTGTGTGTGTATACACACACACACACACACACACACACTGCATCTATCTGTCTGTCTGTCTGTCTGTCTATCTATCTATCTATCTATCTATCTATCTATCTATCTATCTATCTATCTATCTATCTATCTATCTATCTATCTCTAGATATTAGGGAAAGAGAGAGAGAGAGAGAGAGAGAGATTGTTCCGTATGTCTTCACCAAAGAGTGTCACTCATCCAAGCTCTGGGAAACGGCCAGGACTGACTCCACTGTAAGGCAGGGTGAGGCAGTTGCCTCAGATGGCAGGTCAAGGGGGGGGCAGGGCAACAACCGTAGTTCCCCCTGCTGCTCTCCTAACCCTCCTCTGCGAGCAGGACGGAACTGTGTGCACTAGGCAGCCTTCCCTACAACCTCTAAACAACCCTGTTGCCTCAGTTAACGGCAGGGGACGCCTGTCCCAATCCATCACCACCCTTTGAAATAAGATATATTTGCCTGTCCATGGTGGTTTCTGTCGATGGAACGGGCAGGAGGAGTGATCGTGTTCTTCATCTGAGGTAAAAGAAAGGCCTCAGGCCAGCCCTGGAAATGGGCAAGGAGTAACGCCCGTTCTGTTGCATGCCTATTTAAAGGAAGCCTTGTTGAGTTCGGCAGAGCGCATCCTCTGGTAACTCTGTCGAGGACTGCAGACTAAATTTGAGCAGTTCCACTTGAGAGCTAGATTCAACCTATGACTGGCCCATGTGTGCTTGTCTGTGTGCGTGTGTTGTTGTTTTCTCGACATATCTCATGATGAGGTGTTTAACTCTCATTGAGCCAAATCCAGGTCAGGTCCCCTACCCCTGAATACAAAACAACAAGCGCCATACAGGTCTAAACATGACGAATGTTCCATTTAGTTTTGCTCTGAGGTTTGGGTCATTTAGTCTGATTCTTTTTCTTCTCACTTAATTGTACAGCTAGGTCTGTGCACAGCTGCTGTCAGTTCTCACACAGCTTTCACTCACTAAATGCCTTATTTTCTTCTCTTTTCTCTTTCCTCCACTACTGTGCCCCCACCTCTTCTCCCTTTTTCTCTTCCTCACTCCCAGCAATCTTACGACAATATAGGCAGACCGGTCTGGCTCCAGGTAGCTGAGTCAGCGTACAGGTTCACCCTGGGCTCAATTGCTGGAGGTGAGTGACATGTCTGGGTGGACTCTTTTCAAGCTGGGGTCGCTGTGATATTATCTTGTGGTGTGCATTTTCAGATCAAGGAGGACTGAGTTCATTGTCCCCTCCCTCCATGTAAGACTGGTGGTGCCCTGAAGAGGGTTCTTTATTGTTATGTGTGGGGGGGGAGCTGTGACCTGGAGTCCAAGAGTCTTCACAGGTATGTTCTCAGACTCCACTCTTAATTATGTTCGATGGACTGATACTAAGAAGTGATGCAAAAGAAAAGAAGGAAAGAATGCAAGGTCTTAACATGTTGAAGCAGGTATTAATTATTAGATTATTAATTTAACACACACGCCTGTCAGATTTAGTAAGAGGTTTTAATATGTACCCACATGTGCTGTGTGCCTCACTCTTGTAATAACACCTACCTACCTACCTACCTACCTACCTACCTACCTACCTACCTACCTACCTACCTACCTACCTACCTACCTACCTACCTACCTACCTACCTACCTACCTTATTTATTTATTTATTTATTTACTACCTACCTACCTACCTACCTACCTACCTACCTACCTACCTACCTACCTACCTACCTACCTACCTAATACAAAATGCGTTATTTACATTGCCCAAAAAATAAAAGAGGTTGGCTTTTATAATAGTAAAGGCGTGTCCAAATTCCAGAGTTCAGAAAGTTACTTCTTAAAGAAATACATTATGTAAGTCTTAGAAAAGGCGGCCTTCAAAGATAACATCTTGTTGCTTAGCATAGCAGGTTTTTTGGGGTTTTTTTAATTGGCACATTGATTCTTTGTTACATTTTGGTTTCCTTTTCAGGAAAAAAATTCCATGTAAATAGGTAAGAAAGTGGTCTAAGATTTGAAGAAATTTGCCTTGAAATGCCAAAAGGCACACATTTTAAGCCCTACAACATTATGAGAAAGATGATGGGCAAGCTGTGTTTCTTCACACAAGAAAAGAAATAAGATTAGTAGTTGTTACCTTTTTCCTGCTGTCATTACTAGGGAGAGATGTTGCAAGGAACACCGTTATCTATAACACATTACTCCTAAACTCTGACGAATCTGTCTCTCAATCTTTTGAGAAGCTGAGGAGTGTCACCTAACAGTTAGGGTATCAGTTCTTTTTTTCTACAAGGAAAGCCTGCTTTCCCTTTTCTCCCTCTTACAGAATGCAAGGGTTTCCAGCAAATTACCATATTTTCCATGTATAAGACCCCCCCATTTTGACCTTTTTGAGCCTGAGTGCCCAAATCACTGGGGGCTCTCCAAGTTGGTGCGTCCTCTGGAGGGCAACCAGGGGACACCTTCACCCCCTCCCCAAATATAGTCAGGGCCTTTGCCCGGGCTTCCTGCACTGCACTGCGCTCTGCCCCGCTCGCTTGCTCTCCTCCTTCGTCTCCGCCTCCTGCTGCTGTTGCTACCTGATCCCTGCCTCCAGCACCACCCACGGGCTCCCTTCGGGCAGGGGACCGGGCTGGCATGGGCAGCAGCATCAGCGTGGCTCCTGTGCCCACAGAAAGGGCCCTTCGTGCCAGCTGTGGCGTGCTTGCCATAGATTCGGCTTACTTCCGTGTATAAGAAGACTGTCAATTTTTAACTATTTTAGGAAAAAGTAGTGTCTTATGCACAGAAAAATACAGTACCTCCTCAGCCCCCTCCTGTGCCTTTTGGCCATGAGGCTGGAGGGAGAGCCCTCCTCATCTGTGCTGCCCCAGATGTTTTCACTCTTCTCCCCTTTGCTTCCATTTCTCTTCTGAAACAGTTTTCCCCTACCCAGCTGCTTTCCAGATGTGTTGGATTAAAAGTCCTGTCATCACCAGCCAGCATGTCTTGTGATGGAAGTTGTCGTTCAGCACTTCCAGAGGGAGTGCTCGACATGTGCCGTAGCTAACACAGGGATCAACCACTGTGGGCATATTTTTCATGTGCACACACGGTGAGACAGCTAAACTTGATTATCTTTTTGCTTACAGCTGTTGGGGCTACGGCTGTCTATCCGATAGATCTTGTGAAGACACGTATGCAGAATCAGCGCTCAAGTGGGTCCGTTGTAGGAGAGCTGATGTACAAAAACAGCTTTGATTGTTTTAAGAAAGTATTGCGATACGAAGGCTTTTTTGGCCTATACCGAGGTAAGCAAAGAAAAGGCAGGGATGAAATGCATCCGCAGATGGCAGCTGGATGGTTAAAGTTGGGTTGTGCTTCTAAGGGCAAACTGTCTTGGGCCAGCCCTGCTTTTGTGTAAGAAAGGCAGTGAAGGGAGGCAGTAACTGCAGGCCTTCTTCACTGCCAGTTAGGGATTCAGGAATTACATTGTCATTTATATCAGTTAATTCAGAGTTAAATCATCATTTTATAGATTTGGCTAGGCTTGATTAAATAAGCTTGTTTCTTTAGAAAGACTTGCTGTACCAGTTTTGTTTTTAATTCTAAGAGAACAAGGAAACTTGGTCATTCTCTCTCTCTCTCTCTCTCTGTTGCCTGTTTTTTTCTTCTGTTACTTACGAAACTGATTTCTGCAAATCATGTGCAATGATGACATTCTCTCTGTGTGTATGTCTGAATTGATGTATAATTAAATATCTTTTGCTGTGCTTGCACCCCTCCTCTCCTGCCCCCCCCCCGCACTCAGCAGAATTGTTTCATCTTAGAACTCTGAATTCAGAATCATGGCTGAACCATTTTATACGTCTGCTTCTGCTTCTTGGAAGACTGTAGAACTGAAGTCACTTTGTAGGTTATTTTTGAAACTCAAAGAAAAACGTGTCTGAGTGGAACAAAGATTGAAACAGCTGGGTGTCAGCTGTAGGGAATATGGCAATGAGAGTGAGGAGACGGGTTCTTTTCCTTGGCTGGTGTTTCTGTGTTTAAGGGAAAGAAGTCCAGTAGTTTAAACGTACACATCCCGTTCACAGATGACAGCATGGTTTTGCCCTGTGGCTTTTGTACTTAATGGTAACAAAGTCAAATGGGAGTTGCTCCTGGAACGGCATAAAGCCCATATGTTTGCCTATGAAGAGTTCTTCTGGGCCATCCTGAGGCCCTCTCAGGTTCATCACCAGATAAACAAGGATGTGCAGAAGGAAGCCAAGAGGGCAGCCATCCTCTTGCACTGTTGTGGCCCGGCAGCTGATGTTCAGAGGTGCACAATCTCTGGGTTTGGAAGTTGCGAATCAACTTCCTGCCTAGAAATCAGTGGTTTTCTCTATGCTTGGGTACCCAGGTGAACACACATGCACACATGAGCATTTTCTTCAACTGTGCATGCTATTGTTGGCCTGAGTTGCACTAGGGTGTTAAAGATTCTTTTAATGGGGGGGGCAGAGAGTCAGGCTGGGGGACAGCATTTCTTTTGCTGTTCTTGTTGCCAACTGCTCTTTGTGTTTTAATAACTACCTTTCCTCAGCATAATGAGTCTGTTAAGTCTCAGCAGGAAAGCAAAGACATGAAGCCTCAGTATACATTAGCTGCTGAACTTTAGGGTGTTGCTCCCCCCCTCCCAACCTGCAGTGAGATGAATTGGCATTTTGCAACAGTCATGTAACCTCCTCTGGAAGGTTCTGAAAGTTGGGCCAGGAAGCAAGTGAGGAGACAGGTAACCCATGTGCATACTGCAGTTAGGAAGAGAAAGAGCAAAATGGGTGAGAGGCCTCGGCTGAAGCCAAGCAAGTTAGGTCTGCCCTCTGTTGATCTGCTCTTCTTAAGGTAGCACTGAAGGGAGCTCTTATATTGTAGAATATAACTTTGGGGTATCCCATACTTTTTTCCAGTGTTCTGTTTTCTTTCTTTTAAACCCACGCAATCAATGTACATCATATAGAAATAGGAAAGGAAAACTTCTGCCCAGACGCTCCACAAACAGCAAAGCAGCTCTAGTCCCCCAGCATTCTGGGCCAAGGGGGTCCAGGAACACGGTGGTGAAATTTGTTTGTGTAAACTGATGTGTTGTCAGTCATCATTGCCTTGTCTTAAAGTGGATTCACTTAATCTCATGGGTCCGTTAGGCAGCACGTACCTTGTGTTCCTGCTGCTTCTCGTTGACCTTACCTTCAGTGAATCCTTTGGCCTGATGGCCACAAGATTTCTGCTGTCAGCTGGCAACTGTCGGCCTGCAGCATTTCTTGTTATCAGACTTCCTTTCCAAGAGAGGCTTCAAGGAACACACAAACTGTCCTGAACCCCAATGCATGTGTGTTTTTTTAATTTGTCTGGCTTTGTTTCATTTTTCATTATTATTAATTTTAGTCCCGGTTGCCTCCTATCATACTTAATGACAAAATCTAGTGACATTGTCTTGCCTTTTAACTGAATGCTAACTTTCCCTCCCAGTGCTTAAACTTCTGTCTCCAATGTAGTGATGTAAGTAACTCTCTAGACAGTTGCATACTTTTTAGAGGTGATGGTCTTTTGGGTAGTGACAAGAGAATACGTGTGTCCGTGCAAATAGGATTGGTTTGGATCCTGAGAACTGCACACAGAAGGAGGCTTTGGGAAAGGGATTTTGCTCTTCCCTTCCTCCCTTCTACCAACCCATGGCCTCCTGCAGGTGGGGCCAAACCTGAAAAGTATGAAGGTGAGGGTACAGGATGAGATTGGAAGGGTGGATTTGCCCAATATTGGGCAGAGGACTCCTGCGTGAGCACACTAGGTCCGGGTGGTTTCCTCTTTTCCTGGCATCCTCCTCAGATTACATCTCCCCATTCCGACACTGTGCGAAGGCACCAGGGACGGTGCTGTTGCTTTTGATGACCTCCTTGCTTGCTTGCTGTTCTCAGGATCCAGGCTTCATTCCCTTTAGCTTTTTGAATTACAGTCCCTACAGCAAGTGACAGTGTCTGGCTGTGTCTATAATGGTGCTTCATTTGAGTGTCTCTCCCGCTTACTACAATTTCCAGCATTTTCAATTTTGTTTCCAAGCAGTAGTTCCATGAAAAGAAAAAGTGACATGATTTGATTGGGAACAAATAACACTTCCTGGTGACTGATTGTCAATTGATCAAATCGACAAGGATCATCTTGTGGTAAAAGAGAACCATATGGTGTATTTTGAGCATACCACAATAACACTTTGGGGAGAAACTCGGCAGCAACATAGCTGATTTCAGTGCATGGCAGGGAACGGATAGAGGACAAACAGGCTGATGAAAATGTAGCCTAAGTGAGCCCTTGTACTGACAAACTGGGTGTTACCATCTGCAACCGTAGTCTTGAACTGCAGGGTGGCATGATGGTACAGTGAGCGCATAATGTCACCCCCAGGCCCATATGGAGAAAAATCATTCTCATAAGAGGAAGTCCTTCATGTGGAAATAGGGGTAGTAAATAATTTAAGAATGAAAAATTTGTAAGTTGTATTGGATCTAATTGTGATAGATCTTGTCTGTTCCCTTCTGCTAATCATGATAGGTCTCTTCTGTTCATAGGGTTACTCCCACAGCTTATTGGTGTTGCTCCAGAAAAAGCAATAAAACTTACAGTAAGTATATCAAAACTGAGAAAATTCAGCACCTTTTCTCTGTGTTCAATTGTTAAGAGTGACAGTACAATCCTATATGTATGTACTGAAAATTACACCAAATTAAATTTGATGGTAATTACGCTCAAACACTGTATTGTGGCCTTGTGAAAAACAGCAACAAACACAACATGGGCATGGGCAACAGGCCCGTGTGTGTGCGCGCGCACACATACACACACACACATTTACACATGCGCATATAACCACCATAGACATTTCCAGCCGATCACTCTACTGCAAGAATATATATATCAAATTGTATATGAGAAACATGGGAAGTAGAACATAAACATTAATTTATTTTTCTTCTTTAATTAGGTGAATGACTTTGTCAGAGATAAATTCACAAAAAGAGATGGTTCCATTCCACTGCCGGCAGAGATCCTTGCAGGAGGCTGTGTAAGTACTTGCACACTGGGAAGTAAAGTGAACCTTTCCATGATGGGAATGTCCGCAGAGGCCTAGCCCTTCATAGCTGTGTCCCCAGAAGAGCCTGCTGCGAGTTCAAGGCCTGGATAGAGTCTGTGTCTCTCTCTCTATTGACACTGTTTTTCCAGTGGGTGATGCTACACAGCACAGGTGACAACAGGCTCGTTCTCTCTCCCTTCCTTCCTCCTTCCCACTCTCAGTCTGCATATGTCGTAGAAACAGTGGTGGTTTTGCAGAACATTTCCACTAAGAAAAGCTGAAAAGATTGTCAGTGATGTGCGGCGGTAGAGGTGAGGCTTGTTTGTATGGGGCAAGAGGTAGTTTTCAGGACATTTTGTTACGGAACAACATCAAGTGTTTGCATCTCCAGGGGTAACTGGAGGAAGCAGCCAACTGTTGCTGGTGGTTTTTAGCAATTTATGGGGGACATGGTCCCCGCCTCCCTACCCTATGAAAGTTTCTGTACCTCGTTAAGACTTGAGCAGAGGAGAAGGTGTCATCAGCTGTGCTTTTCTCCTCAACACATGGAAGGGGGAGGTGAGACGCCACTTGTCAATGTTGTCCTTCCAATGCCTTTCTGAAGTGGACAGGAGTCCTCTCAGGGTTTTGACCCGAGAACCCTAATAACTACCAGTTGAGCGGGCTGGATGAAAATCACTTCCGCTTGTCACTGAAACCTTGGGCAATAGAAGCTATTGACCTCTGCACATTCCAAATGCCGCTCGGCTGCTCTGGAGCGATGCTGCTGTTAGGTCTCCCTGATTAGGAATGGCAGCATGGTGGATACCTCCGGCTTTACCTGTCAGCAAGCAAATCTACATTTGGGAAAGGCAACAAGCAAGCAGAGTTGTAGTCATACACCAGAGAGCACCTAATCTTTTACTTGAAGGCCCATTAGAGTAAGCTACAGCATACATAACCAACCCTTCAGGTCTACAAATAAATGTAATTCAAAGGCCTGACACATCTGCTAAATTCTTCCCCCTCCCCGCCCCCAGGAAGTCTTCTATAGACTGCTGGGATTGCATGATGAAACCATTCACACATTACAGCAGTGTGTTTTAAATGAAAATATATGCATATGTTAAATTAGAGTGGGATCAGGGTCTTTTAATCGCTTGACAATGTTTTCCGGTGTGCATTCATTAGGGTATTCCACCCCCACCCCTGCTGTGACATGTGTTCAGTTGAGAATGTTGGCAGTTTTTCTTCTGGTTATGAAAGCTGATAATCAAGATTACTAACTTTTAATATAGTTTTATACCAAAGTGTGTTTTGCACGTTGAAAAGCCTGCTTTAGACACCATCTCCATCTGTTCTCAATATGTTTAAAACCAGTGTGCCGTGATTGTGATATGAAAAGGTCTGGATTGCAGGCAAGCAATCAGTGGCTTGAATCCCTTGTAGTCACTGCACAGAATCCCAGTGATCAGAACAGAGATACAAAGTCATTGCTCACAGTGGGCCAGGGCGCACCAGCTGATCCTTCCCAAATGGGCAGACGAACCAGGAACTTAGGACAGTTGGAAAACTTAGTGCTGTATCTAAAAACAAGACTCTGGCTTGACTCTTCTTTAAGAAGCCAGCGTGTGCAGCCAAAGTTTGGAGTCAATCCTTGTTCCTTAAAGCAGTGGTCCCCAACCTTTTTCACCGCAGCGGACCGGCTGGGGAAGGCGGGGCACCCCCCGCGCTTGTGCGCATATGCGAACGATTGCTCTCTCTTGCGCACGTGTTCCTACACATTCGCAAATGGTGGCGTAATGCTTGTGTGGGTGCTTTCACGCTCATGCGCATGCGCAAACGGTGGTGTAGCGCTTGTGTGGGCACGCTGGAGCGCGTGTGCAGGCGCAAACAGGCTGTGTGGGGGTGAGTGCATGCAGGGGGTGGGGCAGGAGGTTTGTCTTTGCTGCCTTGTCTGGCTCAGGCCACGAACCGGCACCAGGCACCGACTGGGGTTGGGGACCTCTGCCTTAAAGGAAAGACAAACCAGAATCTCACTTCAGAAATATTACTTAGCTTTCCCATTGTCAGAAACATCTTTAATACTAAATAGCCAATATCCAACATTTATGTCAGAGTTTTTAATTTTCTTTATTAAAAGTGAAACCTTACAACATCTTGATAAGATTAGCTGCCTGCTTGACATTTTGTTCTTTCTCTGTTCAGAAGCACCACTGTGTAATTAATAAATTTATCCAGTCATTTCCACCCAATAACAGGCAACATGGAAATTATTTAGGGGGGCTAATATCAGATTTTCTGTGGTACATGTCGAGGGCTGTGGAGAACATTGACCAAGGTGTGAAATTGCCTGTTCTCCAGACTTACAACGAGCCTTGTCGACATAAAAGCCCCATTTTTTTAGCTGTGCTTTGCTTCTGCCAACTCTAGTCCGTAGCTGGTTAAGTGATTTCCAGGTAACCCAGTTCTCCATGGGACTTGGGGTCTGACCTTTGCTGGGGTGCCATCAATTTAAAAAGGTAGGTAGTTCTTTCTTTCCATAGCATTGCAAGCCCAAGGGCACAGTGGTTAAACTGCAGTACTGCAGCTAAGCCTCTACTCATGACCTAAGTTCAGTCCCAACGGATTCAAGTAGCCAGCTCAGGGTTGGGTCAGCCTTCCATCCTTCCAAGGTCAGTAAAATGAGTATCCAGCTCATGGGGGGGGGGGCAAAGTATTCCCTCTTTAATTATGCTGTAAGCTGCCCAGAGAGTGCTCTAAGCAGTATGTGATGGCTATCGAAGTCGAAGCAACAATTATTGTCATCGTTGTCCTGGCACTTTCTGCTGTTCCTTCAGGATTCACGGATGTTCTAAAAAAACCCTCTTCCTTGATTTTTCTGTGGGAGGGGAGGGGATGGTAGCCGAAGGGGTGTGTGTGCATTTGATTCAGATGCTGTTGTTCACTTTTAACTCTGGAAGACCAATTAGACGGTGCTTGCTGCTGAAAAGCCAAGATTCTGGACCCATCTAGCAAAGCATTCAGCTGTCATGGTCCGAACAGGAAGGCCTTTGGACCACCCGGTTGGAAGCAAGACAACCAAGGGTCTGCTTAGTCCAGCATTCTTCTTTGCGCCGTGGCCAACCTGTTTTGCCTTTGTCAGCAGAACATGAGTGAAACTGCACCCTTTGTCACAAAGCAGATGGGCATTGGAATTACTTTCCCAGTAAAGCCTTGAAGGAAAGGGAAGTCAAGCAGAAGAGTGCAGATTGTTTCGGTGGATGTTTCTGTTTTTAGAAAGAGCAGAAGGATATAGTTGAATGAAGTGGGTTGTGATGCTGAAGGGAGCTTCCAGGGCAGCTGAAAGTCTCCTGAACGGGTGTGTATCATACTGGCACAAGAAATCTTGATGCATTTTATGGACAGGTCATTTCAGCCTGTGCTTGAAAAGTTGATATTACCTACAGATGGCATGTAATAGGACATTTAAAAGAATTTAAAATACTGTTGAGCAAAATACTGTTTATGAATTCAAAGCCCTCCCATTCGGACTTTCTACCACTCCTCGCATTTTCACAAAGTGTATGGCCCCCATGGCAGCCTATCTCTGCACATGAAGGATCTCCATCTTCCCTTACATATATGACTGGTTACTCGTAGCCCCCTCCCATCTTCAAACTCTGCATGATATACACTTTACTCTTTCCCTCCTAGAGAATCTGGGCCTAAAGGTCAATCAAACCAAATCTACACTCATTCCTTCACAACGGGTGAATTACACTGGGGCAATTCTAGATTCTCGATCAACGAGAGCCTTTCTTCCCCAAGAACGGGCTATAAAACTCTACAATGCAATTCAGCAATTCCGTCCCCATGCTTTGGTCACTGCACACCATGCCCAGCGACTACTTGGACTCATGGCATCAACAACATCAGTGATTCAGCACGCATGCCTCAAAATCTGGTCTTTACAGGTGTGGTATCTCTCCCTCTTCAACCCAATATCAGACTCTCCCATGATGTTACTGAGAGTCACACCCGAACTAGCAGCCCAGCTAGAATGGTGGAACACACCACACCATCTATTCATCAGCAGACCTTTCACACCACTTCAACTCACCATGCAAATAACCACAGACGCAAGCCCAACTGGTTGGGGAGCTCATTGCAATTGTCTCCACATTCACGCCCTCTGGGCTCCCTCAGAAAAACATCTGCATATAAACACCCAAGAACTGCTAGCCATTTTCAAGGCTCTTCATGCCTTCGAACCACCTGTCATGGGGGGTACTGCCATTCAAATAACAACAGACCACACCACAGCTCTTGTCTATATCAATAAATAGGGTGGCACTCATTCTCTACCACTACTCTACCTCACAGTGCAAATCCGGGAATGGTGTCTCGAACGCCATATATTCCCAATAGCAATCCATATCTCTATAAGCCAAAACCAACTGGCAGATGCCTTGAGCAGATGCATCACCCAGATGTACGAGTGGACCCTCGACAACACCATCTTCCATCAACTCCCCAATCTCTCGGGTTACCCTCAGATAGACATCTTCGCATCGACGGAAAATGCAAAATGCCCTCTATATTATTCCAGAGCAGGAATCGGTCAAGGCTCCCTAGGCAATGCTCTCATGACATCGTGGACACCAGGCCTAATTTATCTCTTCCCTCCTATTCCCCTTCTCCTCAGGACTATTGTCAAATTGTGTCAGGAACACGCCAACGTGATCGTAATCGCCCCATGGTGGCCCAGACACCATGGTTCACCCTGCTCCACTCAATCTCAACAGATTTCAACTGTCTCCCTCTTATATTCGTCATATACCCACCCAGAACCGAGGTCGAACCTTTCACCCCAACATTCACACTCTCCATCTTATAGCATGGAGGATTTACCCACTGTAGCTTCTATCCTAGCGAGTGCCAGGAAACCTGTGACCACTCAATTATATTCATATAACTGGTCCGCCTTTATTAAGTTTGTGACTCAACGTCACCTTCCTACTATGCCTACAACTCTCCCTGCCGTCCTACAATTCCTGACTCATCTTTTTAACAGAAAGCTTTCTCTTTCTACTCTTAAGGTCTACCTATCTGCCATAGTAGCCCATCAAGCACGAGACTCAGATGCCGCTACACTCTTTCACCACCCCACTGTAAAGCAATTTCTTGGGGGAGTCTCCAAGATGCCACCTACTAGACCCCACCTCCCTATGCAGTAGTCCTTGCATACCGTCCTCTGACGCCTTACGTTATCACCATTTGAACGTATGGCTATGACTTCTGATCACCTTGTTATGCTTAAGACCATCTTCCTTACCACCATCTAGCTCACAGAGCTTCAGAGATCACTGCTCTTCGCATTGATCCTCCCTTCCTTCAATTCCACCTGGATAAAGTCACCCTTTACCCTGATGTGTCTTTCCTCCCTAAGGTTGTCTCGGATTTCCACCTTCATCAACCCATTATCTTACCTACCTTTTTTCCGTCGCCTACCTGTGACCTGGAACGCTTTCTCCACCTTCTGGATGTTAGGAGAGCACTGGTTTTTTACATCTTCAGATCTGCGTCTTTCTGCAAATCCAAGAGACTGTTTGTTTCTACACAATTTACCGCATAGAGGATCTCTTGTTTCTGCCCAAACTATCTCTAAATGGATAGTGGCAACTATCTGCCTTGCGTATCAATTGGAGAACAAGCCTCTTCCTGCTGGAATTAAGGCTCATTCTACAAGGGCATTGGTCACTTCTACAGCTTTCCTCAGGGGTGTTTCTGTCCCTGATATCTGCAGATCTGACTATCTGCAGATCTGCCACATGGTCCACACCGTCCACCTTTGCCTCGCATTATCGTTTGGATCTAAGGGCAAAGTCAGATGCTACGTTTGGATGAGTGGTTTTGTCAGCTGTTCTTCCGTGATGTCCCTCCTCCGGACAGGTAAGCTTACTAATCACCCATTAGTCCAGACAGGGATATGGATCGCTGTTGGTACAGTGTGGTGCAAACCAAACTGCATCATCCACACATGCCTCTACTAAGATTGACCCCTTTCCCTCTGCCCTTTAAGAGCTGTTCCACTCCTGTCTGATACACAGCTAGGGGCTTCTGTTGTGGTTTTTTAATATGATTCAGCTTGCTCCTAGTAACCCCATTGTGGAGCCTGTGCAGATGGCTAGTTCACACCCAAATGGAGCTGGGGGTGGGTTTATCTGAGCTGACAACCCTCTGACCTATTAGGTGGGTTGTGACATTAAAAGGGAGGACAAAGACAGTCTCCTCTCAATTTTTGTCTTTAAAAAAAATATTTTCCCAAGGCAGCACAATCCTAATACCATCTTAGATTGATGCATTGTTCTTTTAATACACCATTTACTTTATGGAATGGATTGAATGATAGTAAAGTAAACAAACAAACAAACAAAAGGCACAAAGCAGCAGCAACAAAAAGATGCCCAGAACAATAGCTGCCTGTGAAGAATCTGTGCTGGTATCAGAGCCAGTTACAGAGGTCAGTTGGAGAAGTGAAAACGGCAGGATGGAGGGGTTCTTTTCTCATATCAGAGATACCTGAATAAGCTTCATGTAGGGAGATGTGTGTATGGGCGTAAAAGTTGGACAGTACAGAAAGGTGACAGGAAAAAAATTGATTTGTTCGAAATGCGGTGCTGGAGGAGAGTTGTGCGGATAATACCCTGGACTGCCAGAAAGGCAAACAGGAGGATCTTAGATCATATCAAGCCTGAACTATATCTCTGGAGGCAGAAATGTTACGAGGAGGATCTTAGATCATATCAAGCCTGAATTATATCTCTGGAGGCAGAAATGTTACAATGGAGGCTGTCCTACTTGGGGTACATCACGAGAAGGCAGGATTCCCTGGAAAAGACAATAATGCTGGGAAAGTTCGAAGGTAGCAGGAGAAGAGAAAGACCAAATACGAGATGGACTGGCTCCCTAAAGGAAGCCACAGGTCTGAGTTCACAAGAGCTGAGCACAAGACGTTTTTGAGATTGTTCATTCAAAGGGTCACCATAAGTTGGAGGCAACTCAACAGCACCCAACAATAGCATCATATATCTGTAGCCTACAGTTCTAATTTATGTGTCATCTTTAAATTAAAAAAGGCTTCTACTACTCTTTATTTTTCAAGATAAACATGTCTGTTTTTTTAGAGATGGTGAAAGGTTCAAGAGTGGCAGTTTGTCAACAACAAGATGTCTTCCACAAGTTAGCTCCCTCCTGGCGGATTGGGCTAAGATCCCTGTCCTTGCCAGCTCACATGAGGAATTTGGGGATGATGGGTTTTGTATTCCCAGCACATCTGGAGGGCACAAACTTTGGCAAAACTACTGTACCACACACTCTCTTAAATTGCTGAGGACAAACCTAAGTGAAAAGGGACGGCACCAGACATGGTAGGCTTCACTGGCCTTTGAGAAGGAGTGGGTGGAGCAGCTGCTCTGCAAGGGCCTATCTTTAAAAGTAAAGTGCTCAGCAAGAGGGTATGGAAACCTGGCTGCCCTTTGAAATAGCATTTAGCAGGACTGTGTCCTCAAATGGCTTTACATTTTCTGAAAATGTGTTCCTTTTGTTGTTTGAATGTGTGAGTGTGAGTCAGCATGAGAAGCTGGACCTGGCTCCGGGAAGGCCGTGTAAAAAAAGGCTCCAAGTCTTTGAAGAGCAAAGTCTGTGGGGGTGGGTGAGTGAGTGGGAGACCCCCTGTTTCCACTGTGGGAAAAGTTTTTGGTCCAGGATGCATCAGTTGGAAACGAGATGAAGCTGGGGCTGGGAACAGGCGCTTCCCCCTCCCCAGGTGCCTCCCGGCTGGAATCGGAAAGGGCAAGAGGTCTCCTGATGGCAGGGTCACTTGGGCATTTCCCTTCTGCCTCTGGCGTGTCGGGAGGTGTTTGCGGTGGGATTGCAGACTGCATCTCTTCTCTCATAACCTTTGCTGTCAACTTGAGGGGTTTTTGTTTTTTGTTTTATTCCTTGTGGAGATTTTATTTTACATGACATTAAGGTTAACTAGGGAGCTTAGATTGTTCGTACTCCTGATCTGTATGAATAGCCTCCATTCAGGATTGAATTTGTCATGCGTTGCTTGAAAACACGTCCATCATAAAACAGGAATAATTTTCCATGTGCAAAAAGTTTGGCCTGTTTTCTGTGCGCTATCTGAACATCCCCTTAGAATGAAGTTGCTGTTTCTATCACAGCCTATATTAAGTATGCAAGCGACCTCTAACTGTGTACATACGTACCTTCTTCGTTCAGTCCACCCATTTCTTAATTTGGACTAGGGTTTGCCCTCTTTATAATTCCCATTTCTGAAACACTGAAAATGTCCATGCTGCTTCTACAGTTGTTAATTCAGTGGATATTTATCTGATGAAGCTAATTTAAAAAGTGGGTGGCTTGATTTTCTTTACTGGGTAGTTCTGTTAGCCCTGTAGAAATCCTGACTCCTAAATTTCTCTGAACAGAGCCCAGAGAAACAGAGTTTTCTGCATAGCATTGATCCTTGATGAGCTGTTCTCAATTACGGATGTGGATTTCTTTCCTTCTTTTGAGATTTTGAGGCGAGTGTGGTGGCTGTGGTTTTTAAGATAAGAATTGAAACAACTTAATGGTAGTCCAATATATTTCAAATCAATTTTAGTTTGTAATAGGATGTGAAAAGTTATTTAATGATTTGCAAAATTCTTATACCGTCGATGTTCTGTTAGTTATTTCACTTGGAAGAAACTACTGGTTACACATATACATACTTACACACGTACACATATTTTAGTGGTAGTAGTAGTAGTAGTAGTGTAGTAGTAGTAGTAGTAGTAGTAGTAGTAGTAGTAGTAGTAGTAATGTATTTAACAGATAGTTTATATATTATATAATATGTTTAACAAAAAGACACACACACAAAAACACAGAAACTAATGAACATGCACCACGCACTACATGCAAAAAGTGATGTGGACAGATTATATTTACCATGAAAAATTAGAGGCCGTGGATTACTGCAAATACAGCAGGTAGTAGAGAAGGAAAAAAGAAGCCTAAATGGTTATATCAGTATAAGCAGAGAAAAATTACTGAAAGCAGTGAAAATGGAAAATATTTTGATAACAGCTGAAACAAAGGCTCAATATAAGAAACAACAATCTGAAAATAAATTAAACAGCTGAAAAATATACTACTGCATGGACAACACCTGAGAAATGTTGATGGAAAGCATGATCATAGTTCAACATGGGCGTGGGTAAAACTGGGGACCTTTAAGAAAGAAACCAAAGGCTTGATTTGTGCTGCACAAGAACAAGCACTCCAAACTAATGTGATGAAAGCTAAGTTCCAAGGAATTAGTGCTAACAGCAAATGTCAACTCTGCTGAGAAAAAGGTGCAACTGTGTCACACCTCATCTGTGAATGTCCAAAGATTGCACAAAAGGATTACAAAGTTAGACATGTTAGAATGGCAAAATTACTGTATTTTTCTGTTTATAACATGCCCCCGTTTATAAGACACACACCCCTCACTTTTCTAACCCCCAAATTAAGAAAACTTAGCTTTGAGGATTCAGCCTCTGGGCCCAGAACATTGGACATTTTGAGTCCCTGTTGAATCTGAGAACGAGGTGTGTTCCAGTTGCTTTGTTCAGGATCAGCTGAGGTCAGTTCCATAAGGCTCGTGATTGGAGGAAGTGAAGTCTCCTGACTGTAGGAAGCTAAGCCTCGTGACTGAAGGAAGCCTGTTGACAGAGGCAAGGTACAGGCCTGTTCTGTGTTCTCCTCAGCTGTCTCAGCTTACTTCCATGTAAAAGATGCCCCTCAATGTTTAGTGTAATGATTTAGGAAAAGGTAGTATCATGTACATGGGAAAATACGGTAGTGCACTGGTCATCATGCAAAAAATATAACTTGCCAGCCTTCAAAAACCCATGGGAACATCAGGTAGAGAAGGTGTCAGAAAATGAGGAAATCAAGATCTTGTGGGATTTCCAGATCCAAATGGACAGACACCTTGAACATAAAACACCAGACGTCGTAGTAATAGAACTAAGAAATGTCTGGATCATTGACATTGTAATTCCAAGGGATGCCAGAGTTGAAAATAAAGAATTGGAAAAACTAACAAAATACAGAGACCTGGCAATTGAAACATCTCGCTTGTGGATAAAACACACTTTAGTGGTCCCTATAGTCACTGGGGCTTTGGAAACAATATCAAGAAATTTCACACAATGCTATAAGGAATTACAGATCTCAGAAATCACATCAGAGCTACAAAAGAGCAGTGATATTAGGAACAGAGTACATCCTGGGCCGATATTTAACAGATACTTAAGTTTTTGGTTAAAACTTGTATCTGTTATATAATACCAGTCAACATTTTTATAATTTTGATTAACTGTGCCTGGTGTTTTTGAACAACAACAATAACATCTGTATTATTTATATGCTGCCTTCCTTCCAGAACTGTGACCCCAGGTGGCTCACAAAAAACATAATTTTAAAAAGTTAGAATTGAATTTAAAAGGTTACTTACCTATAACCATAGTTCTTTGAGTGGTCCTCTGTGAATCCACACAAATGGCTTAGACTGCACCTGCGCAGGACTCCTTGGAATATTCTAGAGCTTAAAAACATGTGATTAGTAGGACGTTCCCACGTGGTGCACATGCTCCGCCTACCTGTAATACCTCAGTTCTTTTTAGCCACTACTGAATTTTGACTCCATTAGTGACTACTAGAGCGATTACTTGTCTTATCTCACGGTTTTTCTGATCTTACGGACTGTTTAATGTTTACGATTCTTGGATCATCGGACTTAATCTGGTTTTTCATTTACGGACGTTTCCCTGTGATTTATATTTCACTTTGTTTCCCCATCCACTTACCTTCCCGCCTTTTTTATGGGCTCTTCAGGCATATTCAAGCATTGTGCAATGTGTCCCAATAAAATTCCATTTACTGACAGCCACGACTGCTGCTTATTCTATCTCGGTGAGAGACAACAGACTCACTCCTGTTCTGAGTGTAAGAAGTTGACCAAACCAGCTCTCAAGCCCTGGTTACAATGACTTCGATCATATTTGTGGGAAAAGTCTTTGAGGCCTTCCAGTCCTGCTATGGAAACTACTGTTGTTTCTGTCCCTCAGTCTGAGCCCTCTGTCCCATCAGCTCCAACTACTCCCTCTCCGAAGATGTCTTTGAAAGCACCCAAGCCCAAAACATCTTTGGCATCGATATCGACCTCGGTGTTGAAGGCGCCCTCGGTCTCTAAGGACCGCTCTCCTAAGAAAAAAGAAAGATGGAGCTAAACAAAAGAAAACTAAACAGGCTTCTAAAGCAGCGGTTGTGGCTGTCAGTAAAAGGAATTTTATTGGCACACATCACACAATGTTTGAATGGGCCTGAAGAGCCCATTAAAAAAGGCAGGAAGGTAGATGGGGGGGGGAACAAAACGAAAGATAACTCACAGGGAAACATCCATAAATGAAAAAACAGATTATGTCCAATGATCCAAGAACTGTAAACAGTCTGTAAAATCAGAAAAACCGTGAGATAAGACAAGAAATTGCTCTAGTAGGTATTACGGGTGGGCGGAGCCGCGCCCCCCCCCCGCTGTCACACACGGTGGGCGTGTTATGTTCACAGTGGGTGTGTCGTGCTCACGAGGGGGCATGTTGTGCTTGTGGTGGGTGGGTCACGCCCCCCCCGTGAGCACGACGCCCCTGTGCATGGAGCTCGCTTCCCCCAACCAGTCCTCAGCCCCCAAAAGGTTGGGGACTGCTGCTCAGAGTATTCTGAGGACTCATACGCAGGCGTAGTCTAACCCATTTGTGTGCATTCACAGAGGCCATGAAGAAGAAACAATTCATCCTGGACAAGTCTCCTATTCCTTTCAATGTCTGGAAGGCCGTTCAGAAGCAGCTTTCTCGGTGGCAGCTCCCAGGGGATGGAAGAGGCTGTCCCTCAGGAGGTCAGGCGCCCCCCCCTCTCTTTTATCCTTCCGCCGACAGCTGAAGATGCATCTTTTCAGGCAGGGTTTTAACAAGCATTACTTGAGTCCCTGAATGCCTTCTTAGAGTTAAGATAGTTTTTAACATTTACTTGCTTTAATTATTTAATTGTATTCTGTTTAGCATATAGTTTTACTGTTTTTTAATGTTTAAGTTAATTTTTTAAAAAATTCTATTTCTTTTAATATTGTGAGCTGCCATGGGCCCCTTTATCAAGAGGAAGACAACCTATAAATAAAACAAACAAATAAATAACAGTTGTCACTTCAGGTAGAGAGGCAAATAAAAAAAAAATTTTGTCTGTTCCCTCAGTGGGCGCACATAAAAGGTAGGAAAAAAATATTATAGCACTTTGACAGATTTCCCTCAATTTGATCTTCCATAGATCGAAATCTAGTTCTTCAGATAACTGATATTAAGTGGATTTTCATCCATGAAAGCTCATATTGAGAAATGTTGTTAGTCTTTAAGTGAGACAGACTAACGTGGCTACTTGTTTTTCCTTTGCAATTAGGAAAGCTGCTCCTTGCCCATAACCATATTGGTGGAATGGCAGAATAGCAATGGCGGTTGCCTTATTTCTAGCAATGAAATTTCAACTTCCTTACAACTTTGGAAGGCCCAAGGGTGGGATGGGGAGCTTCTCAACAGTTAAGACCAGGTTTATTAATTACACTGATAATAATTTTTCCTTTATCTGAGTGAATATTAGAGCCCTGGGGATTTAGGTTGGACTTAGTCTGCAGAACGTAATCTATGGACTCTGAAGTGGCAATTAGAGAGAGAGAGTGAGTGAGTGACTGAGAGAGAGAGAGAGAGAGAGACTAAGCAGCAGAGAGTAGGGATAAATGGATGGTGCTTACAGTAGAAAAGTGCAAAAAAAATGCAGTCCTTCGAGGTGCTGATGGGGACCTGGACTTTCTCACTTCCTCATAAGTGATTTGAGGATGTGCAACATCAGATGGCCAGGTTTGCAGATGACACTAAATTATTCAGGGTGGTAGACAACAACAAAAGATAGCAACATACACCTAAGGTATTTCTCCAGACGGGGTCCACAGACATTAAGTGACAAAAGTGATCCATGGTAAGCCACTGCAAATGGGGGCTGAGGAGGGGAGGGAGATCCCTAGCACCCCACAGCAGAAGGTGTTTTCCTGGTTCCCTCTCCGCCAAAGGAATCCCTTTCTGTCGATTATTAGCCATTTCGGCTGGACTGATTTGAAACTTCAGAGACAGACAGCAGGCTGTTGTGGGATGGTGATTCGAGGAAGAGTAGCCTAAAGGCAAAGGCCTTGTTTTGTTTCTAATTAAAACCAAATACCATTCTCGGCCTCTCTGATTAAAGGATTTCTGGTAGTTGGAAGAAAGAGACTGTAACTCTTGCCCGTCCTATCTAATGGCGTTGGTGTGATGGTGCAGAGGCCCACCGCCTGCTTTGAACCTTGTGCTTGGCAGTCGTTGGAGGGAACCAATGTCCCATCAACAGCAATAGTAAAGGACACAGTCAAATAAAACAATGGACTGTCCCACTTCAGGCTGCAGAGTGTACCTCTTTGGAAGTGGTTCTGCCCCACTGGCCTTTCTGTTGTGTGCTGTATGCTCTCTATTTGACTCAAAGAGCTATGGCAAAATTGGGTCCATGGGCCTGCCCTGGCCTACGGGAGGTCTCCCAACCGACACCGACCCCCAGCCTCTTGTTCTGTTTAATTCAGAGGGATTCTGTTAATGCAGAGAGAGAGAGAGAGAGAGAGAGAGAGAGAGAGAGAAGGCAAATACAGTAAAAATTGTCTGCAGAAGCTGCTGTTCTTTTGTGTCGTTGACACTTTGGGAAGCAAAAACTGAAATGGAAACAGTTAGCAGTATTTCCAACTGAAGCAGACAAAGTGCTAATTTTGAGCAGGGTTAGCACCACACATTTTAAATTTGCAGATGGGTTTAATCCCAGCAAGAGCAGACAGTCGCTTTAATGAAGCAGATGGAAAAGTCTGGCGATTTGTACCGCAGTGACCCCTGCACTTTGCCAGGAGTGAAAGGTGGTACCCTATAGCATACCAAGGGAAAGTCTAAACATGTCACTTCCCCATACGTTTACATGCTTCTGGAGCAAAACTGTCATGTTAAATCTCCCCCTGAATTTTGAAATGCAGCTCTGAGAATGTCTTAGGTTAAAATGCACGACTGGGAGAGAGGAACTCATGCAGCAACATCCTGTGAGGGATGGCGCTTCTGCTCTGCTAATGAAATATAAAACGACTTGACAGCTGCTAAATTTGTGTCATGCCCAGGCTGGAGAAATGGATAATGTCTGTTGGTTGCTGTGTTGATCGCCCCTCCACCTCCCCCCCCTTTTTTTAGCTGTAATACCTCTAGGTAATGGAGGCGCACCCATTATTCACTCTTAAACAATGAATTTCTAGTTAAAAGCACCAATATACTAGCCTAAGAGCCCTGCCAATTATTTAAAGTAATGGAAGCCTGTCTGCATTTGTCTCACCTTTTTTTTTACAACCAACAAGAATCCTTAAAAATGCTTAATCCCCTTTCCTATGTGCCCTATTGACGTTTGGTTACCTCCAGACCTCCGTGGCTTCAGCAGAGGAGTGAATGAAGTCTGAAGGCCCTGGAATCTTATCGCAGTGGATACGCAGGCAACACTTCTGCCAGCTGAGTGCGTCCTACTCCTGTGGGTTACCTCCCCCAACAGTCCCTGCTGGGATGAGCTGAGAATGGTCACAGGTCTTGACTTGCTGCTGCACTTTAATGCTTGCCCTGTTTGGATAAGCTAATAAGATCAGTGTACACCCACTCTGGAAGTGTCCACTTGCAGGGCGCGCTCCCTCCTCTGTCAACAGCTAAACTGCCTCAGTGGCTGCCCCTGTATATTTGGCAGCCGCTAGCCTGTGACATATCTTGATTTTTACCTTCCGCCACTTCAGTGGCCGGGGTTTCAGTCCCAGCTTTGCCAGTGGGATCATCTTGTTTGGGATACACAAGGGGTCATGCAACAAGAATGGCTTATAAGCCCACGCGGGGAACAAGCTTGCTGGTGGTTGGCTCTTGCTCCCCCGAGAGTTATCCCTGGTGAGCCTGGCAAGCCCTTCGCCTTTGCCTCCACCAGTTAGTTGCCCTTGGTGCCTCAGGAGGCCCCCTCCCCCTCCCCTGGGCTCAGCAGCATCTCTCTCCTTTCCTGATCTCCCCAATACAAAAGCCTTTTGGATAGGGTGGATTAAGATGCCCGTCCGCTTCCTCCTAAACTGGATTAGCACCCCTGTCTGTGGGTCCTAGATCGATCGATCAATGTTACCCTTCCCTGGGTGGCACAGGGTCTTCTGGGATCTCTGTGTCCAAATGATAGGACTTTCCCTTGGGGCTCTCCACTGGGTGGCCCCTGGTGTCCTCTTGTTCCATCACCACCTCCGGTAGCAAATCCCCAGTTTGTATGGACCGCTTGACCTCCTTCCCTTCATTCTCATTTTTCTTTTCTCCTCCCTCTGCTGCCTCTCAGTCCTCTCTTACAGAGTTCCTATGTTCCACGGGTTCTTTTTCTCATCTAGGGGTCGATCCTCCATTCCTTGGGGTGTTTTGCCTGACCTGCCCCTTCCTGTGTCCTTGGATGAACCCCCTCCTCTTTGCCACCAGGGCCTTCCTGGGTTTCAGGTTCTCTCAGGGAGTCCTACGTCAGAGTTGTCTCTCTTCAAGGTGGGGGACTCGGCAGGTTGCAGGGAAGGCGAGAGGGCCCTTAGACAGAGCCCCTTCACTACTTACTGTCTCCGTTCTCACAGCTACCCTCTGAACAAATTGACTTAACATTTAAAACTTAGAAAAGTTTTTGATTATCATAAGAGAGGATAATATAATTTGACATAATTCTAATAGCTATCAGTAGATATATTATGTGGTGGATTGGTATTATTTTTGCAAACTTTTCCATTTTAAACAAGTTTTATTACTGCCTATAGAGCAGAGGCAAGTTTATGAAGTACACATCCTAAATGCTGCCACATTATGGGTAGCAGGGTGATGAAACCAAGCACAGTGAAAACTGTGAAAATAGGCTGTGCGTCCCTTTGTAATGTCTACACTTTGAACACCTTTATCAATCTTTGTAAGCTTTACTACAGTGGTGAGATCCTACCCAATAGAATATTATCTAATTTAACAAGCTATTGGCTGATACTAAATATAAGTGTGAGTTCATTGTGTTTGAGAGATCATGTGTGTGATGATTGTGATGGAGGGAAAATAACTTAATGCATTTTCTGTGGTTTTACAGGCAGGAGGTTCCCAGGTCATCTTCACGAATCCCCTGGAGATTGTCAAGATTCGTTTGCAAGTGGCAGGGGAGATCACCACGGGTCCTAGAGTGAGCGCCCTCACTGTGCTCAGGGACTTGGGGATTTTTGGTCTTTACAAGGTATCATTTTTCCCATTTTTTGAAACTCGTCTCAGTTGAGTTGCATGCAAAATGTACCAGTGAGGCTGCTGAAAAGGAAGGTGGGGAGCAGGGAAGGGAAGAAGGGAAGGAGTCTTTTCATATCTGAAAACAATCTCTTCCTGCAGGGCAAGCCCCACAGTCCAAAATGGAGAGAAACCCACATTTATATTAGTGGCAGTGGGATGTACAAAAGCACTCCTCCGCTTCTTCCTCAGGCTTTTATCCCGAGCTGCAGGGAGCCCCAGGCTGCAGACCTGCTGGTTTCTGGCATGGATTGTTTTCCATTTAGGAGGCAGAGGCGGTGGGGGTGGAGGAAAGGGGCAGGAGAAAAGTTTCTCTGGCTTTCCTTTTGTGTTTGTTTGAAACACCTCAAATTGTCCTAACATTTTACTTTATGTCTCCATTATCTCTATTGTTACATTCACTGCGGGCTGCTCTCTTTGTCTTAATAATATGACCAGAGTGAAGCAGTGGTAGAGTTTAGCAGGATTCAGATCTTTAAGAAGTTAAGTGATGGGATTTGTCAATAATGAATTGCATTTAAAAAAAAACCAGCCAGCCAGACCCTTTCTGTAGTGTACTTTAGTAGAATGCCAGTCAACAGATCCTTTCCCTGCGGGTCTATTTACTTCCATCATTACAGATCGGAGGTAATGGAGCAGAAGCTATTAGTTTTCTTAAAGAGTGTTTCTTCCGACACCCTTAGGTAGCACAAGAAGCTAATACGTAAATTCAGCAAATATAAGCAGCTGTGCTCATGCAAAATACTGAGGCATCATATTTATTTTTTGGCCTTGTGGCAACACCTGCATAAGTCTGCTTTTGGAAAGGCAGCTTTCATTCAGAAATTAACAGATAAAGAATCACACACCTATCATGTTTCACCCCAAAGACATTGTTTAATTGCTGAAGCTAGGTGTCACTCTAAAGGATTGTTGTTCTTGATGAGACAAACTTAGCCTTTTCCTTGTAAGTCTTCTCAAGTGTTTCAAAAATGCCCATAGAAACTGCTCTCCCCCCCCCCAAAAAAAAACACAACACAAAAGCAGTCAAAAGTGATTTGAACTGAGTGAATAGGTTTTGAAGGGCACACATTATTAAGCTTTTGATGGCCAAGACTGAAATGAATCCCAAAAGGACTGTCAGCATAAAACCACTCATTCCCTGTGCCTCTTACATCTCTCTCTTCACAAACTGTGCCAATGTGTTAATCCTGTTCTAGGCGAACCCAAGGGTTAAGGGAGGTATCCTGAGTTCCATCTCAAGCAGAAGCTGTCTTTTAAAGGATGGAGAAAGGGAATCACTTTGAACGAAGCCCAGAAAGGTGTTAAGGAATAATGTTACTCACCAAACACTACAAAGCAGGCTATCCTCTCAATGGAGGAGTTGTTCTTTCATCTCTTATTTAAGTGAAGTTACTGCCCCCCCCCAACTGTTCCAATGGACTGGCTGGCAATTCCTACAGTCCCTTCCCATTGACCATGCTGGCTGGGACTTCCGTGGGCTGCAGTCCAAGAGGTCTGAGAGGAGGGGGTGAATGTTCCCCACCCACCAGACCGTTTGGGCAACAACCCACACCCATCCTGCAACTGCTTGGTGCTTATAGTTTTACAGCATCTCTGATCCTTCGTGCAGCCAAAGGGACCCTTCAGCATCCCTGCTCACTTGTTCAGCTCCCCACTGCCCCACCCCTGCAGAAATCTGAGCATGGGATCTTTTCCTGCTTCTTGGTCTGAAAATAGCTTGCCTGCATTATTTTTCATTTTCTTTTTCTCTTTCACGCCACAGGGTGCCAAAGCGTGTTTCCTCCGAGACATTCCCTTTTCTGCTATCTATTTTCCCGTGTATGCTCACTGTAAACTGATGCTGGCGGATGAAAACGGCCACGTGGGAGGATTTAATCTTCTCACAGCTGGTGCTCTTGCAGGTAACTTTGTAGCCTACATTGTAGGCAGTTCCTTTCTCTTTCTCCCCAATACTGGAAATAGTTAATAAGCCTCAGGCCCCACAGATAGGAAACTAGTGTTCTATTGTATCTAACCTCATCTAAATTTGATCATTTATCCTTGGTGGGAGGTAGGGTAATTTTGATGAGAGCTAATTACATTTGCATAATGTGGATAAACAGCTTAATGCAGCTCACCAACTTAGAGTCACATGTGGTCTCTTGGCCTCTGTAGGGGGGTTGCAGTTGTTTCAGTGCTCTCTGCGATGGAGAGATGTGTCGATACCTCAAGGAAATACACTGAGGAAAAGCAACAATTACCTGGGCTTTATCCTCCTACGCTTGGGAAGACACTCGCCATCTTACTGTACATGCAGAGGGAAAGGACCTATTTAGGAGGTTCAGATTCACGTTCTCATTGTCCGGAAGCCAGATTCACTGAATGTGGCATTTCTTTGAAGGGGAAGCCACTGAAATACTTCTGTGGAAGCAGAAAGCAGATTTCTGAAAGGACTTTTCCCTTTGTTGGCATGCAGTGCCTGTAGGTGCGGAAAGGATCATTCCAAGCAGGGGAGGAGAAAGTTCCAAAACTTTGATGTTTTGGACCCTTTCCCCAAAAGCCTGGCAGTAGTAAAGCCAGCGGCAATGGACTGTGGGAATTTGGAGTGTGACTGAGTACAATAGAACACCCAAGTGTTTTCAACCAAGAACTTCATCTTTCTGCGCCCTTTTTTCCAATTGGCGTAACTTGAATGAGCCGCTGTAATGATCTATACTTTTTGTTTCTCATTGATGTAAAGTATTCTAACATTTTATATGTTTTCTGGGGTTTGTGCTTATTCATTCATTTACATACTTTCTTATTGGCAGTCCTCTTGAACCAAGAAATTCATAGCATCCTGCAGTAAATTCACCCTTTAGATGTTTTTGTCTTTGTGACTGTGTTAAAGTCCGTAACACCCATATACAGTAATAAAACCAAGGCTTCATAGCACCAAACAATCTGTGTTCTCAAAGCCAACTGTAACATTTTGTTATTTGGCTAGAGGTGATATTCTTAAAGGAGCTGCTCCAGGCCATTCCTCCTCTGACTTGTATTGCATGGTTATGCTCCCCCTGTACTTTCAGCCAAAGTCTGCTGCTTGTTATGATCCATAGTGTTTTCACATACTGTATTTTCCTGCATTGACCCCCCCCCCCATAAAGGGCTGAGAAGGAAAAGATTGAATGGTTGCACAGTGTCTTTTGATTGGTTATGCTGGAAGTACTTTTAGCCCCAAATCCAGTAGCAAACCATATTCTTCCTTTAAAGTTGGAGCTACACAAGAGAGGAAAGAAAGGAAATGCAGTTGTTGGCTTTTGGCTTTCTTGGAGATGAACAGCCCTGCCTGTTTATTCAGAAGCTTAATACTTTGTAGAGCCTTTCAGAGCGAGCCTTGTTTCTGCCTTTCAGTTGTGCTCAGCTTCCCTTAAGCACTCCGCTCTCCTGGCAGGTGTTCCTGCTGCTTCCTTGGTGACCCCTGCTGATGTCATCAAGACCAGACTGCAAGTGGCTGCCCGCGCTGGCCAAACAACATACAGCGGGGTGATTGACTGCTTTGGAAAGATACTTAGAGAAGAAGGCCCCTCTGCTTTCTGGAAGGGAGCTGGAGGTGAGTGAAAAAAGGAGTTCATGCATTGTTGGAGCCATTTTAATTAACTTTTTCAAACAACATAAAAGCAGTGGGACGAGACTTCAGCCATTTCAATCAGAGGCCATGCCCATACTTAGATGTTGTACCGTAAACGTTTGTTCTACTTATGTCCCAACAGCACGAGTGTTCAGATCTTCACCCCAGTTTGGTGTTACTCTAGTGACCTATGAGCTTCTGCAGCGCTGGCTGTATGTTGATTTTGGAGGCATGTAAGTATAGTGGTTCATTTGTTATGTCTCATGTTGAAGTATGGCCCAAGCGTACACTTTCCTGCTGATGAAGCAAAAAACTGCCTGATACCTTGGCATGTATTTATCTTTCTAAATGCAAAAAAAAAAAAAAAAGTATTCTAATGTTGTACTGCTAAAGTAAACTCCTGATGTTCCAGTTATAAATATTGGTTCTAGCATCTGCTTTTACCAGAGAACGTGCTGATGCTTGTTCCAAAAGAATAGAAATTCCTTTTTTACCCATCATGCCTTCTAAATTGAAATGCTACTGTCATGGACTCTTCCTAAGGATTTTCCCTTCACTAGGCTGAACCAAATAGCCTGGAAGGGTCACAGGGCTATTCTAGGAAGCCCTAAGGGTGTAACAGAATCTCAGTACATGGATGCAAGAGGGGCAAATCCTTTCAGTGATAGTTTGCCTCCAGGTTACTGCTTCTGAGCTAGGTACAAGGGGAACCCTTTGAAATATTGTGGGTGGGGGTCGGGAGGTCAAGGCAGCTTTCACATGTTTGAATTAGAGAGACTTTGGGGGGGGCTTCATTTTCTGGAGTGACTCTTTCTTTGTTACTGTGAAACACAGCATGTTAAGGTGATAGCCTTAAGCCAGACCTGGGTAAAGTGCGGCCCGTGAGCCGCTCCTGTCCAGCCCACCGGTTGTCGCTCCAGTTCAAGCACTTGTTCAAGCCCAAGACAGACTGGATTTCTCTCACTGAACAAGTTGAACATCAAAACCATTTATAGCTTTTTGTCTAAAGTTTATCAGTTGCTTATCTTTAACATACCGCAAAAAACCTCTTTAGTATTTGTGAAGATTAACAAATAAAAACAATCATAACATCATTGTTTCATTTTATTTTTAAGTAAAGTTGGTTCGGACCCCGAACACAGTTCAGATTTTCCATGTGACCACCCCTATAGAAATTAATTGCTTACCCCTGCCTTAAGCGTCTGAGCAAGCAGGTGCAGGCATGGGCATGAATCAGGGATAATGCTGACCTCTGCTAATTTCCTGCTTGCCTTCCACCAGCAAACCGTCTGGCTCAGAACCTGCACCCAAGACTCGAATCTCAGACCTTCCTCCTGCTAATCCTGACCACATTGGTGGATATCGACTTGCGACAGCTACTTTTGCTGGGATAGAGAGCAAATTTGGCCTCTCTCTGCCAAGATTTCGATCTGCAGTCCTTACTTCAGTGCAGCCCAAAGCAGCAGCAGCAACAGAATCTTGAGCTGATTGGCCAAGTGGCAGAAGAGAGGCAGTGGACAGACAGTGCTCTGCTTCTCCAGTCAGCTGCATGAGGCACTGGGGAAGAGAGGCTTGCCACTGAATCACTCCTTTCTATACAAAACACAGCTAATTATTTGCACACAGAAGACTGATTGATGCTTTAAGTTCTTTCTACACATAGACCTCTTCTTTTTCCCATCCCAAAGGCATGACTTAGTAATCGGGGCTTGGCTTTGCACAGCTTGCACTTCCATGTTACTGTACATATTGTACATCTTTGTACAGAGACATCATGGCATTGAAAAGCAACTGCGTTTGTAGAAACAGGGACTGGCATTCTAAAGGGTTTGAAATGTACAGAATGTTTTGAAAGAGTTTTATTAAAAATCATGTGACAATAAAATTTATTTAAAATCAACAAACGCTGGGGTCATTTTTTATTTATACGTTGTGAGGCAGCGTTCTAAAACAAGCCCAAGCCCTGCTCCTTGGAAATGCTGTGAAAAGGGAATGAGGCAGCCCTGTCTTTCATTTGGTAGGAGGAGGAAAGCAGGGCCAGTCAGCACTGCAAGTTGTTTGAGGAGGGGGAAAGGTTTCTCAAAGGAATCTCAAAGGGAAAGTTCTCAAAGGGGGCGCCTATGAGCGAAGCTGACCCAGAGCTTCAACCATTACTGACTGCCTCCTCCCTGCTTTCTGAGTAGAATTGGCCGGGCAGGCAACCTATGAACATCCAATGGGATTTATCCTTCAGGGGTTGTAAAGTTTCCTGGTATGGAACGTTGAGAATGGTTTTACCCACATTAATTGCTGGTTTGGGGGCAATGCTAGTTTGTCTTGATTAGGTTTGTTTGGCCTTTCCCAAGTGAGTATGTGTTGGTCAGCATATCATATATATGGATTCAGGAGAGGCTGTCCTTGAATGGTCCTTGAAGAGTAGGGTCTTCAGCACCCTCTAGAAGGTTGGGAGGTAGAGGGCACAGCTCTAACAGGACCCCTTTCCATAGGGATGGGGCAATCATGGCCATCTGAAGGGGGGATCTTATTTGCACAGGAGATCCACTGTTTGAGAGGACCCACCTGGGCCCCATAAAGTGGCAGGAGAGTGGGCAGGGAAAAGGAAAGGGGAGGGGAAATCTCACTCACAAAGAATGTCCAAAGGTATTTTAGAAAAGAATGGTGCCACCAGAGGCAGAAGAGAAAACATAGTTCCAGCAGTGAGAGGAGTCTAACTTCAACGGTAGCAAAAAGGAACTGAGGAGCTCTCCAGATGGGCAGAGCATCTGCACTAGGGGGGAAACTTCTTAGCAAAAACATGACTGAAAGCTCTAGAAAGTTCTGGGGAGTCCTGCCCAGGGGCAGACTTAACCCATTTGTGTGTATTTACAAAGACCACAAAGAAGACTTGGTTTCAAGTGCCTGCCTTCTTTGCCTCCCTGTGCGTGGCCACCTGCAAGAGTAGAGGTTGCAAAACTTAAGTGGTACAGGATGAAATTCTGTGGGAAAGATCCTCCAACAAATAGCAGGATCCCAAACCATTCAGGAAGGGCTTTGTACCTTAAAATTGAAGCTGACTTGGAAGGGAACAGTAAGCCGATGCAGGTGGGCCAGTACTGGGGTGTTGTGATCAAACTTGCGCACACCAGAAGCAAGCCTGGCCGCCACATTCTGCACCTGTTGAAGCTTCCAAGTCAGCTTCAAGAGTGATATAGTCAGTCTTTGAGAACACTAGCACCATAGTGGTTCTGTGAGCATTTGGACACCAGTGAGGTTTCCTTCCTGACAGATAAGAGCTGCAACTTCTTCTTCTTAATCCGCAGCTTGAGACTGTGGAAATTGTTAAGACTCACTTGGATGTCTGACAAGTGCTGTGCAAAAGAATGCAACTCTCAGAGCCATGCACTTGGTAAGCTTGCAGGGTGCTATAACAAGTGCAAATAGCACTGAGATCAAGTGTCAAAGGGAGACACCAATGAAATGACGGGATGAAAAAAAATGGAAATATGAAAACGGGCATCTTGTAGGTTTATAAATGGCAAAGTAGGGGACTAATGAAATGGGAATGAGAAACCTTTCCAACTTGATGGATTTGTTCATATCCCAAAGACCATTAAATTTTGTTGAAGAACTGGGGTGGAATAAGTGGAGTTCAGGCATCCCAAAGGCAGCAGCACGGAGAGGCACTTTTTGACACATCTTGATGGACAATGGTAAGGAGTGTCAAGTTGTGGTAAGGGTGTGCCAGTTGGAAAAATAGTTTGAGACTAGAAAAAAAAATCAGGAAGGGGACAGAAGAGCGAAGGCCAGCAGATGAGAAGGAGAGATATCATAGGCATTGTTTGGATGAAGGAGAGGCCTTCACAGCAGAAGAGGATGACCAGTTTTTGGACTGTTTGAAAGTGTGTTTGTGAGGTGTGGGTAGAAAAGAAGACTGATGAGATGTAGCTGCAGACCTGTTGGTAGGAAGATGACAGCTGCTTCTATGAACATTTAGACTGGTGCTATAGCTGAACTGGCTGGCCAGTTCTGGCTGTAGTTCTAGTCTTCCTCAGATAGTCAATGATTTCTCTGTTTTTCAAATGAAAAGTCCTCCTAATGAATACATGGGTCTTTAATGCATGACCTAAAGTTGTCCATGATGTCTGCTGAGCACAGCCAAGCATGGACACTCAATGCAATAGTGACAGACATAATATTGGAAGCACAATCTACCATTTGCCTTACCAAATTGATTTGATCGCCATCTAAAGTGATGGATCTCAACTTGTAAACACTATGCAATATTTCTATGATTGTCAGATAGGTATGGAAGAAGGGCTTGAATTCCCTCCCCCATAGGAACTGTTGATTGGAGACTATAACTGCTTGGTAATTACTAATTTTGACTGTCAAAGCTACTGACATGTAAAGATGGCAACTAATAATATCGTTTTCTAACCTCTCTGTCTACAGTGGTGGATTGGGATTTCTACTTGCTTACCTTCAGCTTGTTTGCCTCCTCAGTTAATGGAGTTTAGTGGATGCTGCTGGAAGATAAAGGAAGTCACCACTTAATAAATTCTGTAGATTTTCAGTGTACTGTCATAGGGGGCTTGGCCCAAGACTCCTAAATCAGTGGAAAATGTTGAAAGGAAGGAGAGAAGATATACTGTGTTTGGCGCCTCTTAAAGTTCTATAAAACATGGACCTTATGCTTTGACTTCAATCTCCAGTCACTTGGCCATCTTGATTAACAGCAGTGTTCCAGATATCAATGCAAAAAAGACATGTACAAATATTTGACTGCATTCTCTCCCCTTCTAAACTCAAACTACCTCACTAGCAGTGAGCACTCAGATGATCTTCAACACCATTGAGGTCAGAAGCACTGAGACTTCTGAGACCAACAGCATAGATGAAACTAGGAGAATGAATAATGTCAGTGGTAAAAGATGTAGGATATTGATAACAGCTGTACAGAGCAACCTGATCAGAGTGGGAGACTCCGCCAAAATAATTGGAGGTGGATACCGCCCCTGAAACCTGCTTTGATGCGCATCTAGATAATATTGAAAGTAATGCAGTCCTCTCTGGGATTGACATGGTGGTGGCACAACAAAGAGTCTTCTCAAACCTCTTCAGTTTCAAATTTTTCCTTTTAAGCACTTCCATGTCTGCATTTTTGCTGGACCTTTGGGGGAAGCCTCTTTTTGGCTCAGGCAGACCCAAGCTGCACACAGGTGTGAGTAGAGGGGATCTCACCTCTGGGAAGGTAAAGCAGTGGCCTGTTTTACCTTCATATGCTTACTGGATAGTACAAGAAATGTCATGATTCAAAGTCCCAATGGCAACAGAGCAGGGAAGCCTAATTTTGATTACTTTTACATATAATTTAAGGAGGTTGCAACACCAATCTCCTGAACGCAGACAAGGAATAGTGTTGGCAAGTTCTCTATGCAAATTCAACAAAACGAACTCTCGCAACATCATAGGCATCCTTCAGTCTCAAGAGATTGTGGTTACATGCTCTGAATCGAGGAGTGTCCTCTCCAGAGCATGAAGCCTGGGTAAAGTAATATGGAGAATAGGCTGTTACCAAAGCAGCAGATCCCCCCTCTCCATGTTGCTGAAATGGTCCAATGGAAAGGCAAGAGCCAATACAACTGGTTCCAGCAACGTCGCAGGAGTTGGGAGAACGACAAGAACTGCCTTCAGGACTCCAGCTTCGGATTTTGCCTCTAGGTTAACTCCTGAAGCCTTTTCCATCAGTGGATATAGCCACAAGGCAGTGGAGGTTTGAAATCGGAGTTTACCTTCTCCTAGATGGGCTGCCTTCCATGGCTGACGAGCCCTACCTACCCGGCCTGCTCTTTAATAGTGCAGAAGTATGATCTGACCCTTAAAACTTTCCTGCCTTCCAGGTGTATGCAAACTAATTGGCTTTCCTATTTACCATATTAGGGCCAGAGATAGAATCAGAGAATTTGAGAATTTCAGGTCCTGGGACACGCTCATTGAAATACAGAACACCGCTGTGTCAGGCTTTTTGAAAAAGCAGTGCATTGTACGCTTATACTTTTCACCTTAGGCAAAACAGTAAAATATATGTGACATGTATATCAAGTAAACCCGCATTCAGAAGTCAACTCCACAATTCACAAAATTGTGATCAGGCACAAAATATGAACTCCATTTTTTAAGTGTTCATGGAATGATTTCTGTAGAAGTTCTTTCTTGCATGACCATTGGGAATGCCATTTCTTGAAAAATGAGTCTTTGAACAGAGAATTGTGAGAAAAGATTATGTTCTGTTTATTTATAAAGAATTCATAGTATACTGCACAGATTTAACAAAAAATCTAAAGTACATGTTTTAGAAAGTTTCCATTACTAAAAAAAAGTTTTACGGATTCTTTCTATTCTGATACATGACCTACCACTGGAGCCTGGAGCCTAGTTCGTTAATATTTAGGATAAAGGTTTCTGTGAACAGATTCATGCGCAAATCTAAGCAGTTCCATAGCACTCTTCCACCCAGAGACTCAGGTTCATAGCACAGTCTGTCAATTTAATTTGGGAAGATGCTTATATAACTTAAATCATTCAGAAAAGCCATACGCTACTGAAAGTTGGACAACCTAAATAACTTTAAAGATACAGTGCAGTTAGTGTTTCAGTAGAAGATACTTCTTGGCAAGTCAGGATAAATAATAAATTATGCTGATCAGATTAAGCTGTTGATGTGACTTACCTATTAAAAAGTAAAATTGAAAAGACCTGCTTCAATTACCTTTATACACCTGTCAAATCCACATTTTATTCCACATTCTGGTTTTCAAGTTCCATTGCAGACTAATACATGCTACACTTTTGACTCTTTCATTTAACCCATCCCAAACTGACTGCTAGACTTTGGTGCTAAACCACATCAGAAAGACTTAGGAGGGAATTCTAGTTGCTGCCTCCTCTTCTGCATCAGCTCTGTTTGCATTGATTTCTGCTAATGTCCGACCAAACCGTGTCCATTCATCATTTCGGGGAACAGCAATTTGCTGTAAAGAAAAAGGTACATGGGAAGCATCAGTGAATGCATTTATTTGAATTTTACATTAACTGACATGAACCATAGGAGAATATGCATTTGCAGTTGTTCACAACTGTTGAACTTTTTTCCACATACAGGACCTATTGCAACGCAGCACCTCAACACATGCAAGATTCTATTATAGCCTGAGAAACATTATGAAAATAAATGACACAGAAAGTGCAGCATATAAATTGCAGTGGGCCATAAAAGTCCTTGAGAGCTTGTGCATGCAGATTTAAATTGCATGTCTCATTAAATACTACGTACTCTGTGTTTCATGAGACATGTAACTTTAAAAAGACACTTCTGGACCCAAATCACTGTCATACCACATGGTATGGGGCTGGATGTAGGAAAACCTTATTTAAAAACTACATTGTGATTTTTTTTAATTTGTCATACCACATGGTATGGGGCTGGATGTAGGAAAACCTTATTTAAAAATGACATTGTGATTTTTTTTTTGCAGTTTGGGCACTCAGGCTCAAAAACTTTTGCCATCACTGGCCTAGACCAAGAAGTCAAACCAAGCTTACAGACTGAAATATAAATCTGAATTCTTAACAGCACAGGGAAAAAGCACAGAACTCAAACCAAAGGATTTTGTTAAGGAGTTGATATTAATAGAGAAGCAAAACCTACAGTACTCTAAATAATGTATTCAAATTGAAAGGTCTTAGTCTTTTTAACCAGAGCTCTGTGAGGCAAGCGTTTATAAATTTTTATCCTTTGATAACAGAAAAAAAGTACTTGCTATATGTCCCATTCATGACCTGTCGTTTTAAACTCAATGTGACATGGGCAAATGCCTCCTCTATTTTTAATAACCTGAAATATATGGGATGGTGAGCTTTGCCCACTTTCATCCCACAATGTGTAGCATCCATTTTTTAAAGTGCTATGGGGTGGTACATAAGCAGCACGCTTTGCTTTGCAGTTTTAAACAGGGTTTGCTATTGGCGGCCTAGATCCACGTCTGACCTGCTGACTTCCAGTTTCCCCAAAAGACAAAGAGCTGATTGGATAAGCAGCCTTCCTGACAATGGATCTGACAGCAGGCTATGAGGAAGGGGGTGGGGTGCAAACAAAACCACATGCATAAGCTACTTTACTGCAGTGCCTCTCCAACAGCAAAGCTATATGAAGAGCCATTTCCTGAAAATGTTTGTTTGTTTGTTTGTTTATTTATTTTATATGCTGCCCACACTACCCAAAGGTCTCTGGGTGGCTTACAACATTTAAATATGTTGAGCAGGGTCATTGAGCAGGATTCTACCTAAATCCACACCCACCTTCATAACATTTTTTCGACAATTACAGTGCTAAATGAAGTGCCGACAAAATAATGTTCGTATTCATAAGCATAAACTGCACCTCCTTTTTTTTTTTTAAAGACTCTTCTAAGATGAAAAAATGAGGTTCCTTTTCTTAACTGAATGAGGCAAAATATTTTGGAGATATTTTGTTCAGGCTGAAAGAAAGTAACCTACCTCTCCCACATCATAAATGACTATTTGTCCTTCTGAATCTCCAACAGCAATTTCACGTCCTGAGTTTGTCCATCTTACACGATTAAGGGCAGGATTACCTTCCACGGTAATGCTTGCAGTTGGCACCTATGCCAGTTTAGAAACAAACAAACAGACAGCACTCTGTTAAAGGGTCTCATTGGGACTTACATAATGTTTGGAAGCTTGTTCCATGCATTAACATAAAATAGAAGGGCACACAGACCCCCTTTAACTTTTATCCATAGCAGACCCAGTACAAGAAGGTTACAGTAATAATATTTATTAGAGTATTTAACTTAAAAAAACAACAACCCCATGTTAGCAGCATTCTCTTTCTTTGGATAAAATACTGCCTAACTCCATGTACAGAGGCAAAAAATGCTTTTATTATAAATAATCCTCACTTAAAACACACATGTGGCACCATAGTGGCTGTGGTTGAGGGTCTGCACAAATGTAGTAGGAAACATACCTAACAGCTGGTGGTCTGAAATGCCCCGTTTTATGTCTGGGTTTTTACAATGATGGTGCTATATTAATTTGTTTTTGGAGCAATATCAGCCAATCAATCTGCCAAGTAGGAACAAGAAATATTTCTAACTGTATGTTAGGGAACTGTGCTTTCGTGTATATTCCCGAAAGACAAAGTATGTGAAATAATGAATAGACAAAAATCTGGGACCAGGATCAACCTCGTAAGTTGACAATATCCAACAGGTGGGAAAGCACTGGAAGAGAAAAGAGGGCAAATAGTATATGTTGATGTTCCTTTTCGAGCACTTGGAATTAACTCAGACCTCCTATATGACAAAGACAATTGTACTGGGAGAGGATACAGCAGACACGGCTCTGCCATCTCTTCTTTGAGGTAAATTGATTAGAAATCCAAAGATGATGAAACCATCTTTTCATACCTGCAGCCCAACATCTTTTCAAGCATTTTCTCTAAAAGCTGGAGTATTTTTCATCTTTAGAACACCGATTGCAATCCAGTCTTACCTCAGTATCATTGTTGAGATTCCACAGGTCAAGCCTTCCCATGCCATCCACACAAGCAAAGAGGGCAGGATGAGTAGGGGACCACATCACATCATAGACATAGTCTGAGTTGTCTTCAAATGAGTACAAAGGCTTGTTGTTCTGAAAAGGGGAGAGGAAATCTCTTAACACTGACAGCTCTCATTAATAAACACACATACACATACACACACAATATCCCCTCAGAAAGCCACACATACACACACACACACACGCACACACACACACACAATCTCCCCTCAGAAAGGTCTTTGAAATACTGTGCTTAAATCCGAGTATCACAACTGAAAAGCTCTGTGTTGTTTCTTTTTAGCAGAGAACCATTTTTTTGAAACAAGACAACTTTGCAGTTTTAAAGAATGACCAGTTCTTCATAACTGCAGAAAACCTTTAAACTAAACTGTGTGTACTAATTGAACACACTACCCAATGTATGATTTGGAATACTTCAGAATTATATTAAGAGAAACTTTGATGATACTGTCAATTCTTAAGCAGGCTGGATGTAAGTTAGCAAAAAAAAAATCCACTAGCTTTTAAAATTTTGAGTGTTATTTGTAATTACAGTTTAGTTACAAAAAAAAAAAAAAAAAAAATCCATTAACTTTTAAAATTTTGAGTGTTATTTGTAACTACAGTTTAGTTGTGAAAACAGATTATGAGCAAGTGCACCTAGGATATTGCAAGACTGCATAATTTATATATATATATACAGATCTATACTTACTTAAGTTACTTAGGCTTATACATATAAAGAAAAACATATACATATATATGTATATAAAATACGCCAAACAATTGATGTCAATGTGTTCCCTATAGATGTAGCTCCATTGCTATATTTGAACCATGCATTTTATACCCTTGATGCTAGGAACAGATATTCATGTCAAGACTGCTGTCAAAAGAGCTAGTGCATTTAGTTTTGCATTACTATTTATACAAGGCATCTTTCAAGATAGTTCAACACATTTACTACAGTTTATAGTATATCATTCTACTGAGGAAATAATAAGATATGAGCGTCTGAGGTACCTTAGTGGTCCAAAGTTTTACAGTCCAGTCAAAAGAAGAAGTGACAAAAAGATGGGAAAAGTCTACAGGTCCAACAGCTGCATGACAGTGGATACCTGTGATTGGTCCTTGGTGACCTTCAAACATCTCACTGATTCCAGCTTTGCTATATAAATTGAACACATATATAAAACATGAATTTACTGTTGAAGAAAAGTATTCATAAGATGCTCTAGAACAGTGTTTCCCAAACTTAGGTCCCCAGATGTCCTTGGACTGCAACCCCCAGAAATCCTGGCCAGCAGATAGTGGCAAATGTTTCTGGAAGCTTTCACCCGAGAACATCTGGGGACCCAAGGTTGAGAACCACTGTAATCTAGATGGAAGTTTTTAAAGTAAATAGGAATAGAAACTTGCTAACATATGTTGTCCATTCATTTAATCACCCCCTTCCATGAAGCCTCTATAGAAGTCCACACTCAGTGGATCAGTATATAGGCAGCATTTTAAAGAAAATATGTACTTTAAAAATTAATGTACAGACATGCTGTTACATGATAAAAAGGGCACTTAAGGAACTGCCATCTAATTAACTGTACTGCTTTTTCAAACTAAAGCTACATATCTGGACTGTGATTCCAAAAATTAATATGTTGGATCCCCCCACAAATAAAACATTGATCCTAAGATAGTTTTTAGTCTGAAATCATACATTCCCAATATACTGGTTAAAATGAAACACCACCAATTTTGGTTAGTTTTAACCCAAGGTGTTATGGAACAAGGGTGTGAGACCAAGACCTCAATTTCATTTAAGAAAGCAATTAATAAGATACAGCCAGACTATTTCAAAACAAAACAGCAGGACACATGCTTCCCAATTTAAGATTAGTATGTGATGCTACTGTAGAATTATCTACAGAAGGGACTGTATTGGATGTTCTCTCACAATTCAAATGACAAGAATGGTTAATCATCATTCTTCCATTTCAAAATTCTAAAGCCAAAAGAAGTACTGTACCCACTAACATTGGGAAACTGAAGGAATACCTTTATCAGTTTATATATTTCCCTTTAGAAAAATATAATTGCCCATGTAAGCAGATGGGAAACAAACCACTTCAAACTTGCAGTATCTTACAGAACAAAGCAAAGCGTAATTTTCTGGGTCCAGGTTAGCTGAAATGCCATTATCTTCCCTTACAAGCCAGCTGGGCTTTAAGACTGTTCTAAGATTATGATAAAGATGATCTGATAGACAGGCCTTTCACCCACATTAAGATGCCTACCTCATGGGGACCTGAGAGAGGGCCTTCTCGGTGGCCAGCCCCAGGCTCTGGAACTCCTTGCCAAGAAAGCCTCAATGTGCTCTCTCCCTGCTTTCCTTTCAACTACAGATGAAGGCTCACAGCATTTTAAGGTAAATGGTTATTACTATTTTTAATTGGTTTTAGTTTTAATTGCATTTTGATCGTATAATTTAATTTAACTCTCTCTTAATATTTGTGATACCACTGTATTTTATTCTGCTTCATTTTAAACTATGCTACTGTGGCGATCACCCTGCTTTGGCTCATGTGGAGATTATTTGCATATACCAATGGGAGCTGTTGGGAGACAGAGCCAGACAAACCAGAAGGGAGGGGTGAGTCAGAGAAGAGGAGTTTGGGGAGTGAGTTAGTCAGGGAGTCTGAGTCAGAGATGAGAGTCTGAAGTAGAAGAGTTAGTCTGTGGGAGTTAGAGAGTGCAGTATAGCAAGGAGTTAAGGGAAGCAGTTAAGAGTGTGGAACTTATAGACAGCTAAGAGAGTTAAGAATGAAACAAGTTATTACTAATCTAATGAATACTTTAAAGTCTCTGAAGAACCTGTTTAAGCGGACTGTAACCAATAAACCTGTTTGGTTCAACTTTATACTTAGCTTGGACCTCAATCTTTCTAACTGAAGGGTGTTGACAGAGGTCAACTGGTGGCAGCGTAAAGGAGAGAACATGTTGTGGGCCTCAGGCTAGTGAAATGATCTGGGGATACGCAAGGGGAACATCATAGCTACGAACTGCACTGGGTCCAAATTTTGAAAGAAAGGTGGCATATAAATTAAACAAATAAAATGGAGCCCCAGTTCCTACTTACCTGCCATGGCGACATGCTGTGTACACAGAGCCTTCCTCACTTCCAACCACAAAGTTATTGACATCTCCAACAGGGAAAGACATACAAGTAACAGCTACGGGCTTGGACTGCTTATGAACTAGCTCCATGCTATCCTAGAGAGAAAATATATAATTCACACATTTTACTTAGTTTGCAACAATATTTTGTTAACAAATAAGATTTCTGACACCAGCTTCCAAAACCACATTTTTATTCTAGACTATTGCTGTAAACTCATCCTGAAGGTTAAAGCCCTTGATAGAGTAAAAATGGACATGCCACATAAAGTCAATATGGCTTTGCTTTTCTAACATGGCATAAATTAGAATGAGCAACTTTGATAGGGTCAGTTTTCTGGCCATGAGACCTGAGGCCACACTGTCTGAGACTAGTCCCTTGAAAACACACAACATGAAAATGGAAGTGGCTAGAAGGCAACTACAAATAGATTAGGCTGACAGCCAGTGACTTGCCAAAAGCCACTTGGGTCAGTACCTAGATATTCCTGGTCCATGTCTAACATTGTTCATTACAGTGGGGCCTTGACTTGAGAACTTAATCCGTATTGGAAGGCGGTTCTCAAGTCAAAAAGTCTGTAAGTCAAGTCTCCATTGACCTACAGTCAGTACCTAGATATTCCTGGTCCATGTCTGACATTGTTCATTACTCTGTGCTAGCTCTTACAGTTCATAAGATTTCCGTATACCTAGAATTTAGATAACAGATGTTCTACACAATGATGACTTACATTTTTATCTGAAGAAAGATTGATGAAATGTCAGGTCTAGTGAGAAATTATTATTGCAATTGAATAGTCAAGCATTTCTACATTGAAGATGACAGATGGCATAACTGTTCGAGGGAAAACCACTTGATTTTTTTTACCTGTGGCTGTGAAAGCATATCCAGACTCCATGAACAGATTTTTCCATCAGTCGAGATGCTGATAAGGTTATGGGCATTCTGTGTCCCTACTACGTTCACACAGTACACTGGATGCTAAAACAGTATAACACAGATTAATATATCTCAGAACATTTTATAGATACTTCATACAAATGCAGAATTTAGCTTTTAAATGGCCATTCAGGATAAGGTTGAGAGAGTAACATATCTAAATCCACAATTTCTCACACTGGATCATCTGTTTCTGGCAAGAGTTTCTGATCTAGCTGCAACTATCAGTCCTCTTGCAGAAGTCTTAAACTGACTAGAAGTACAAAAGGCAGCATGTCACCTGGAAAATTTTTGGAGTATGTGTTGGGAGGAATGGAACGAAGGACATAAGGATGGAATAAAGCATTTGGAATAAAGGTGGAACAAAGCATTTCTCAAAATGTGGCAAAAGCAGCTAAATGCACAGAAAGGTTAGTCTCTTTGAAGCATACAGTACTCTGCTTTATCAATTTTCCTTACGTAGCGCATAGCTTAGCAAGGTGCTTGGTCAAACAGGCTGCATGCAAAAAACATAATTAGCTGACCTCTATACAGTGGTGCCTCGCTTAACGGGCGCCCTGTTTAACGATGAAATCGCATAGCGATTAACTTTTTGCAATCGCTTTGCGATGTTTTAAATGGGGAAAAATCGCTTTGCGATGATTGGTACCCTGTTTCGCTTATCGATCATCGCAAAGCGATGATTTTTTAACAGCTGATCGGCAGTTCCAAAATGGCCGCCGGGTAAAAAAAATGGCCGCCCGCTGTTTTCTGGGATGGATTCCTCGCTTACCGGGCAGCGAAAATGGCCACCGTATGGAGGATTTTCGCTTAAAGCCGAGTCTGAAGCCCATAGGAACGCATTGAAGGGGTTTCAATGCATTCCTATGGGCTTTTTAATATCGCATAGCGATGAAATCGCTTTGCAGCGATTTTTGCTGCAACCACTGTACTTCTAGGGCCTGATATTTCCCCTGCAGAAAGAATCGCTATGCGAGGCACCACTGTACTTCTAGGGTCTGATATTTCCCCTGCAGAAAGAGCTTTTCAAAAAATAAGCTTCTGAACACTTCATTTAAAACAGTGAGAACTTTTAGAATATGGCTTACTATTAAAATCTTATTAATCTAGGTGTTCATTTCTTGCAGCAACCCAAACACACATCACTACTAACCTTAGGCAAACACTATGCTATATCAACAGGTTCCCCTGTAAATAAAAAAATATTTTACAGACAGTATTCCCACTCCTTACCGTGTGAGCAGCAGCAGAAAGCGGAGTTCTCTGAACTGGAGTTCGCTTGTTGCTACGGTTATCCCAAAGCACAATTTGTCCTGAATATGTGCCACCAACAACCAAATTTGGATGAAATTTTGCAAATGTAGCAGACATTACAGCTGACTAAAAGAGTTAGGGAAAGAAAGTGCATGTTATTTTCCACATGACTCTCAACCACAGAATCTTTATGTTTCCTACATGATATTTGGGGCTAAACAAATTTAGGTAAAAAGAATTTTACAATCATAACAATAGAAATTAGACTAGAAATCACCCAATCAATTTTATAATGAAATATCTGTTTGGTTAAAGCATGTATTTCAACTTATCTAATTTTAAATCATTTAGCTATATATACATTTTTATTTAGAGACCTCAGGTGTCAATGTACATTTCAAAATCATAATGCTGAGAGTTTCATACTTACACAGAAACTTTAATTTTATATAGCAAGACTAAGATATCAGAACTAGGATATGCTGAAAGAATCTAAATGATGCTAGAAAGCTTGCTATAGATGAACCTTTAAAAAAAATTAATGGATTCTTCAGATGTCAACATGTGTTTGCAAAAACGTGCAGTTTAAAGTTCAAGCCTGTCCAATGAAATCATGATGTTGACAAGCAGAAGAAGGCTCTGGTTCACATGCATCAACATAAAATCCTTAGCGTGGTAAGACAGGGACTCGCATCATACCTGGCAGTGAAAGACATACTCGGGAGTGGTTTTTTTGTATTTCATATTCCACACAAGGGCTACTCCATCAGGCTCGTGAGGAGCATCTTCATTGTTGTTGTAAGAGGCAACCAGTAACTCTGGGTACTGGAAACAAAGAGAAATTGCATAAAAAAGGCACATGCATATGCAGGTTGCCTGAAACAATGAAGCACTCAGATAAATTAAAAATAAGCTACCAAGTAAACTTTATTTATAGGGAATATTATCAGACAGCTGTACCTACAGCAACAACTCCCAACATTCAACCAACACACAGGCTGCAACAGTTTTGCAACTCACGTAGTGCAGGACAGTGTTCCTTTACAATGCTTTCTGCACACAGAGCCAATGACGGCCCATTCTATATACACCTACAATCTACTGCAGCAGACAAGTGAAAAGAATGTCTGCCGAAGGTTTCTGCCAGAAAGATTTTAAGTTCTGTTACCTGAGATGACCAGTCCAAGCAACTAACAACCCGATGCTTTGACCAGCGCTCATCAAAAAACTGCCTGTTTAAGGACAGCTTAGCACCTGCCTGAATTTCTCTGAAAGAACAATTGAAGAGGGTAGATTTAGGATCACTTTCAGTAAGATTAAAACAGGCATAGCAGCAGCATATTGCAGACACTCCAGTATTACCCTTCTTTGTCTTCCAAGTCTCGGCCACTGTAGTCAAAGAAAATGTTAATTTGTTCAGAAAGAGCTCTTTCTACAATCCTCGTAGAGTGGTCGAAGAAGCTCAGAAATTCTTCAGAATGCAAAATCTGTTGCTTTTCTTCTTCTGTCAATTCATGAGGGGCAACTGGAGCAGAAAAGAGATTTGGAGTTTTAATTGATAGCCTATGAGAACACATTTGTTTTTAACGACAAAGCGATTTTAGAGTGAAAGATTAGATGATAGACAGGCACTACGATTGTGAAAGTTTAAAAGCCTTTAAACACTGCATAGAGAACTTTTAAAAATGTATTTTATGCCTTACTGCTTATATTTTATACGTATCAAAGACAAGCATGGAGAAGTGAAATCTTAAGAACAAAGCAGAATTAAATTCACATCTGTACCTTCCTCCTCCTCCTCCTTTTTCAACGTTTTTTCTTCCTCAGGTTCAACTGGTGGTTTTTGGACAACCACATCATCTTCTTCATCCTCATCTAAAAGAAGCAGCTTGTCAATAACTATCGCACAAATGTATTTCAGGAAAACATACTGAAGAAATGTCCAGATGAGGAACTGTGCCCATATGTACTCCACCTGAAGTAAATCTCTGGTTAGAATGCAACTGCTAGGAGAGGCACATGGAAACTAAACTAACAGGAAGAGACAGCAACCTGGAGGCAACGAATCCTGGTAATCTGCAGTAAAATCTTTTAACAATTTTGAACACATTTTCATTTGAAATTCATAAGCTCTGCATTTGTCATTTGAGACAGATCATGGAACCTTACAGTTGTTATTATATATAAAAATGCTACTGAATTAAAAATATTACATGTCTGCCTAGACTCTGATAAACAACTATCAGTGCCTAATGGTTTTTCATTCATGAAAGATGGCTCAGATTAGGTTTCGGCATGCTAAGAGAGATTATATTTTATTTTCTATAATTCTAACTGCAAGCCTCGTTATCTTTATCATGTCTACCAATGAGCTTTTAAAGAGCAGAATGTGCTTTTCTTAATTGTAACAAATACCATAAAATTGCTGATATTCTGGAATACTGAGAAGGCCTATGACATTTTTCACATTATCAGGTTTTCGTTTTTCAACAGTATCAACCCCCCAAAAGGCGCTTTAAAAATTACTTCGTGTTAAACACTATTCCTGCATTCTTTTTTTCAGCTTCCTAGAATAGGTTTGCCAAAAGAGCATTTTTCTACTATTACTACCACTGGTTAATCAGCTGTGTCATCTGCCTACAAGAGAATGGCAAGCAGGGCCCTACAAGTAGTGAGTTGGGATTTCAACAGGGGCTTGTTTGTGACAGCTATCCCTCTGACCCATGGTCAAAGTCACCTATGGGGGGGGGAGAGGACTCCCAGAGTGGCCACGAGATGGGAACCAGCTGCCGAGTTGTGGTCCCAGCAGCCAGGCCAGCTGACCAGACAGCAGCAACCAGATGGCACTGCCGGGATTGTCTCTCCCTCTCTGAGGTGGCAATGGGATGGCACAGCATTTTTCTGCCTGACTGCTTCCAATCATGCCTTTTCTCCAATGGCAAGCCTGTGCAATTACTAGCTCTCCAGGAGGTCTACAGACAAGCCTTTACCCTGCAAACAAAAATACAGCTTGTAGGCCCTACCAGCTGCCAAACCACACGCATAGTGATAGGTTGAAGCAAGAGCTGAGGAGAGAAATCTTTCTAACTCTAGTTTAGTCAATAAAAATATATATCTGTACCTGAAGGAACAAATGCTTTAAATGACACTATATAAGGCACACAATAATACAAACTCCAACTTAATCAAAATGATAATGACGTATGCCAATCCCACATTATATGAAATTGAGCGATTTTTACGTTCTGACAAGTTTACAGAACTAGGATAAATGGCATGAATGATTTCAATATATGCTCATACTTCTGAACCAAATGGTGAAGGTTAAAATCTTTCCTTTCAAGGGCCTCAATCAGCCACAAAGGAAAACAGTAATCACTGTCTTTTCAGCCGGCCCAACCGCATTTGTCAGCCCTTTCTCCGTCAATGCAGCCGGAGCAATCAACCTGCCAAACATTCAGAATGGAAAAACAATCTGAAAATACAGGGTATAATGCACCTGCCAGTGAAAATGGCCATTTCAAGAAAAGCTAGTGATCTCAGTGACCCTGCTGAGGAGGCGGTGGTGCAAAGGGGAAAGAACGCGTAAAAGAATTCTTAGTGATCTCCACTCTCTTGCACATTGACATTTCCTTACAAAGCATGCCAATTACAGCTTTTGTGCTGCTTAAAAAAATGAAAGCTTTTTTGGGCAAAATAAGCACATAGAGAAACAGAAAAAGACACTGCTCCTTTTTTAGAAGAATTTGTACATACAATGGACTATTAATCAGAAAACTGGAGAATGGAGAGATTCTATGCCATGTGCCCCAAACATGAGACTGGGTTCCTCCCACCCCCACCACTGGAATAAAGAAAATTTATAAATACTTAATTTTCATTTAATAGATGAGGGACTGTGAATAGTAAATTACAAGGCAATGACTAGATTAAAGAATTTAGTTAAATTAAGTGTGGACTTTCTCTTTGTATGGAGACTTGCTGCAGCAAACAACACTACAGAGACTTCAAAGCATGAATTCCCCGTGTCCTTTAAAAGTGTTTCAAGCTCACATGCCGTAAAATTAAAAATTAAATCCCAGCTCTGCCACACCATTCTGATTCTGAGTACCATTTTCACTGACAGAAGTCAAAGGCAGATGGTCGACCCTTTCGTGCCTAAGCGACCTCCTCATCTACATATATTACGGAGGAAAGATCCAGTAGTCAGTGGCCCCTCCCCCTCCACATTTTCAATGTAGATGGCACATATTATGCAAACCAGGTCCAAATTCCTTCTTGTGTTATACTCTGCTTGCTGTCAGTGTGCAGGAATTACTGCTGCTGCAGATGAACACTAGACATGTTATAGCAGCAATTACTTAAATATACATTAGAAGCACTGGAGCAGTTTCTCATCTGTTTAAGACACCTTATTTTCAGATGCATGCATTATGCCACCAAACAGATGACAGGGAACTTCAACCCTATTATGGTTATATTTGATCACTTAATAGTATACTAGAAACAAAATCAATACAACCAAGTGTATATCCAGAAGACCATCATCCCAGAGTAACAGATGCTGTATTTTACCTCAACCTGTTTTTGTCACACATTAAGTGAAGATAATGACAAACAGAAATTTATGTGATCACATTCGTGCCTTGTTCTGGCACCGTCCACCATTTTGGATTTCGTCAAATTGTTTTGTCCTGTACAACATTCTGTAAAAAGTAGATCTTTCTTAAAATTTCTTTCTCAGACACAAGATCAATCCTATGCTCCTTTCATTTTACTGTTTTTGCTACTACAAATTTATCTTCTCTGGTTCTCCTCTTTCCCCATCAACTCTAAAAATTTGTTACCAAAGTGATCGATCTTTTTTATTATTCAGACCACACTCCAGCCCCTCAATTGCTATATCAGCTTCCTGCCATCTCTAGCATCCAACACAAACCCATTGCTCTTATTTTCAAAGTTTACCTTCTAAATAAGGGACTTGTCTCAACTGCTCCTCACTTGGACCATAACCCTTACTATTCCAGTTCTTAAATAAGCCTGTCCTCTGTCACAGCATCCATTACATTTTTATAGTGCTCCAGAACATCTATGTTATTCTTCCATTCATTAATCCCTCAAATACTACTTCCAAATACATCTCTTTTATGAATCCTTTGGATCAATATTCTGCCCTCCAGCTCTGCTGATACTAAGCCAACAGATTGTATACGTAAAAAATGAAACACAGGTTCTCCTTCTCACTGTCCTCACTTCCACATTCCCAAGTTACTCTCTTTCCATTCCAAATCTTCGTCTAGGAACTCTTAGGGCACAAAAAAACACTGCCTTTTTGTTTTTCCCTCAAAAAAGCATCAGTCGGATGTATGAATAAAACTGACCACCAGCAGTATACATGCCCCCAAAACAATTTGTCTTAGAAGGCAACACTCCCCCTTTCCCTTTCTCTTCACTCTCCTCTAATCTCCAAAGTCTCCTGTTATTTTAAGAGCTAGCTTCTGCAAAAGCAGTAGCACATGATAATCTATGAATTAAAATTAGTTGAACCAAATGAAGCAGAACATTCAGTACCTACTAAATGAGAAGAAGGACTGCTACACCAGTTATGGATTATGTAACAGTCTTCTTGAGAATATGATGTTTCAAGCCTTACCTCTTTCATTAACTTCAACTTGCTTGTTATTCTGCATCAAAGTCTTATACCAGCATTGCACAAATGCATATTTATTTCACAAGCTGAGATCTAACAGTAAAAACTTAATAGCCACAGAAAAACATAACAATGAGGAGTAGAACTGTTGTGTCAAATCTTTTAGTGATAAATATTCATTGCAATATTCTAAATGGTTAACTCTGCCTCTCCCCTCTTTTTCGGACAGAGAATCTAAGGTTATAAGGAAGTGCTAAAGACAGCATAAAAGTAGCAGTTACTTCTGAAATACCAAATCCCTTGTCAATGAATTGTATATCCAAGTTTAATGAACCAGTGTATTTTTATGTTACGTTAACATCAAAATTGTGATGTATTTTGGAGAGATGGAAAGAAAAGCATGACTCTAAATTAGACAGAACCCAGCAATAACACTAGAGAATGAAGTTCCAGTTGTCTGTGTAATCTGTTGCTGCGGAGTAGGTTAATCAAAGTTAAATCATCTGTGAAATAGGTGGCTTTTGTTAAGCTGAAGGTGTCATCAGATCACATTTGTTATCTGTATTTCATGCTACATTTTAGGCAGGTAGAAAGTAAAAATATTCCTCAAAACAATACTGCTATAAGGCACTGTTATACTACTCATAGTACTGTTTTTAATACACAAGTATGTTGGAAACCCACATATTGAATTTTAATTCATGAGACATGAAATTTGACAGTATCAAAGGATTATCTCACTCATGACAATACAATTCAAATTTACCAATAGACTTCTGCTTCCTACAGATATAGAGAGGAGCATTATTTGCTTTTCTCTTGTTGCTCATCTTTCTAAATGTCCTAGATATCAAAGTGCTGACAGTGACACCTATCAGTAACACTGCAAGGCAACAACTACAGGCTTTCATTCAATAGAGGCTAACTGACTGTTACTGATATCAGTGAATAACTGGTGGGCAATCTGAAATCACCTTGAATTCCCCAAAGGTACATATCAACATCTAAATGACTAGTAACAACATTAACCTGGACACTTCTGTGTATTTTTCAGTTGAAGGGAAATTGCATAAAGAATAGACTAGAACAAGTAAACACTGCAGCCTTGTATCTTAGGCTTGTCCCCACTATATTTCAGTAGAATATCTCACAGACTTAAGGGGAAAAAGTGTTTTTCTTTTATTTTCTCTTTGAGAATATTTGTCCATATCCTCAGAAAACTACATGTTATTCAGAGTGTACAACTGGAAAGAATACCTACACATTTCTGTTAACACACAATATTCTGCCTAGAAATATTGTTTTGCTATGGGAGCACTCTGAAAAATTCAGACGGACAGACAACGTTAAGAACATAAGTACTGTCATACTGGGCTAGACCAATACCGCATCTGCCCAATATTCTGCCTCCAACAGTGTCCAGAAATGGATACTTGAACATGTCTACGGAAAAGGCAATTATGGACCTATTTCTCTCCAGCTGTTCATTTCCGGTATCCAATAGACAGACTGGGAACACCAAGCATGAGATGATCACTTCTGAACCTATTCTCTCACACTTTCTAATAATCGCCAGATCCAAGAAAGAAATGTATTCTTAGTTTAGTAACCAATTTCTCAAGTTTATTTTGCACTGGTGTGTTAAAACATACTGTACACCCTTGTGATTCAAGCATGCTTCCTAAGGACCACAAATGGTGGCACTAAGAATGACATCCAGAGAGTTCTTTTCTAAAGACACAGGACTATGTCTACACTGTAAGAGAGTAAACATTAAGACTACTTTACCTTAGGATAATTTTGGTGTCTAGATTCAAAACTAATTTAACTAGATTCCACTTGATAATAAACAATTATTCTTGGTATTCATATACACAGATTAGTAAATGATTTACACAAGTAGGTGTGACATATCCCAGTAGGTCAGTAGGGTCTGCTTGTCTGTGATTGCGAAAACTATTATCATGGAATTAAGCCCACCCTATTAAACAAAACTCCGGGAGGAAGTGGAAGACAGGAGGGCCTGGCGTGCTCTGGTCCATGGGGTCACGAAGAGTTGGACACGACTAAACAACTAAACAACAACAGTAATTAAACAAAAAAGGCTGCCAGGAGGCATCAGTAAAGAAGCAGATAGCACATACTTTTCAATGAAAGCTCTGTAACTACAGAAACTGTGAAAGTGAAGACTCACCAGGATTCTATTTCCTAGTCTCTTTCTAAAAAATCAAGGTAGTGTTCTATTTAATGAGAATCATATAATCTCAGGCAAATTCTATGTGACTGCAAAGAACACACATTGAAAAGGACTGCAAAATCTACCAATGAATGTTATTGTGGCCTGTGTTACAAGAGTTTCATTGGAGTTAAATTATGCATTTTGAGTTATTGACCAAAACCTGTTGTGAAGCTAAACCCATGCAACTCGGAAGTTGCACAAGAAGTTGTGAAATTCTTGTCAAGGCAGAAATTGTATTTATTTAGCCATTCCAAAGGCACAGTTCCATAGCAAGGTGCACAATCAACTGCACAATCAGACATTCGATGTGGACTACTTGGGTGCAATTCTGTGCAAATTTCCACAGGTATAACTTCATGCTATGTGAAGTGCAACAGGATTTCAGCCATTATGTTAAAGCTAACATAGTATAAATTTATTTAATGTTTCTATTAATCCTTCCAGATGGTCAAATATTGTAGAACAAAATCAACAGGAGTCACAAGGTATTCACCAAGGTATCCGTCTCAGGAATATTTTGGTCACTAAACTTCAGAGATTTTAAAATGTTTTTTAAAATGTCTCAAACTTGTTTTTAATCTTGATATTAATTTTGATATATGTTTAGTTGTTTTTTTAAAGATGGTATTGTAAAACTGTTCATTGTTGTACAGTTTTAGCTGTTGTGTGCCACCTTAGATCCCCTGGGAGGAGAAAGGTGACATATAAATAAAATAAAAGTTGCTATTAAATTTTCATTTAAAAAAAACTACCTCTAGCAATACCAATATTCACATTGTAAAAAACAACAACAAACACAGAAGTGTTTTTATTACTCAGTATTTTATACGGAGGCTATTTAACCACGTTTCCTTAATTCCTTTTATTCTTAGTGACCCTGGAAGTTATTTGAACTGAAAGGTAGGACACCAAAATTTTTAGACTGAATATCACATGCCTTGCATACAGCTAGCAAATGAACTTTCTTCTGGCCCTCACCTTCTTACAGCAGCCTATTACAAGGCCTGAAAAAAAATTAAAAATACACATATAGAAGAAACAGAGTGTGCAGCTACAGTTGCTTTGTTTCATTTTTTGCTGTTGTATTTCCCAGTGTAAAAAAAGAAAATAAAGCCACTGTCCATTTTAGCATGCATCTTGACTGATTCTTTGCCAAAGACATTATAACAAAGCCTCTGTTTTAAAAAAGCTGTGGTCACTGCGAATGGCTCTCCCTGCCATGTCCATATCTTCTGGGCACTATAGGTGCAACCAGCTCCACGGTTTAGCTTACTCTAGAAGGAAATAATTTTCATTTGACAAAACAAGGAACATTACCAAAACAGACAGTTAAAGAGTCAGACAATTTAAGGAACAAATAAACATCCTATCAAACCCAAAAGTCAGCTACAATAGTAGTAATTTCTCACCTTGCATGTTTGTATTTTTACAAAGTACCTTTTGAACTTGTTTCTCACCATCAAACACATCTCATTCTTTTCATGAAGCATATTTAAAACAAAGGAAGAATAGCAGGAAAATTTATACAGTATTCACCTTCTTTTGGCTGAGTCAGAACTGGTGTTTGAGTCTCCTTGGTGTACGTGACCATTTCTCGAGGAGGGAAATCAACCTGTGTAATTTTGGACATTGCCAATTTAATGGGCCCCCGTCTAAGGAAAAGAAAAGAAATTGTTGGAAATCATGTATTTAAATACAATCTCTAATTTTTTTTACTTTGTACGGGATAATCATGTATGAAACTAGACAATGGCTGAAATCTTGTTGATTTGATTGTTGGTGGTGATTTAAAAAATTAGTCTGTCTCCAGTCCTGTGGTCCCAACTGCTTCCCTATGATGGAAGGGATCCCAAGGGAATCCTGGGACCTATGGGGAATAGGAGTGAATTGGAAATTTAAAATAAAACCTGATGACATCACCAGTTTTACACTGTGTAAGTAAAGCAACAGGATTTCAGTCAATGTATCATTCCATACAAAGTTTAATACTCAAAATATCAGTGAATACTACATATTTTTATTTTTTTAAAAACCCAAACAGTGAGGAGATTCTTGTTATACTGCTCTTTCACATAACAGGCACTACTGGATTTTGAAGAATTTAAAATAATGAATACAGTAAGTCAGATCTAGAGTTGTTCAGAATGGAAGTTTGCAAATGGGATAACTTCCACAGGTGTGTGTATGGGGGGCTCTGTGTAAATACCCTTTAGCCCCCAGAAATCTACTCAGAGGGACTGGGACATTGTTCAGAAGAGTGTGTAATGTGGCTTGGGAACTAATGTGAGAGGAGGAAGAAATGAAAATGGCCACTCCTCCTTTTTCTTCCAGGAGGGAGCTGCCACTGTAACCCAGTTCCTTCTATTAAAGGAAGAAGCTCTTCAGTCGGTGAAGGGGCAAGTGTGGGTCCAATCCAAAGTCTGAATTCTGTGAAACCACCACATGACTGCTATTTAACTTGAAAGAATGTATGTTACAATGTTGAAATAATCTGTATTTAAGAAAATCAATACTGTATGTAGAAATGTTTGCAATCAAAGATTGGCAAGATTCCCCGGAGATCTTTCATCTAGACTGGCTCCTAAAGTGGTATGTGTATAAATGTGGAGAAATCCTAAGGAGATGGTAAGACTGATATTTTCACTGACATATACTTTTACCAGTTTAAACCAACAGAACTATATTATTTTAATTTAAACTATTTTTTTTACTACAGTTTGCGTTTATTTTTAATTTTAAAATACAAATTGACTGTATGTGCATATGCTGTATGGAGCTTGAATTATTGTAAATAAGAGGTAAGAAACATCAGGGTTTTGAAAAAATTAGAAAGGACATATATGATGCTAGGGAAAAGTCTGGAACTAACTAATTTGAATATGTATATGATATTTTTCCCAGTAAATGCCTGCGTATAAGCAAAATGGACTTAGGCTATCCTGCAGCTGTGATCTATTTTTTTAAAAAGTGCAATGGAAGCAAAACTCATAATCACCAATTGTCTTTTTCCCTACAGCATTATCCTTCTTAAGTGCTCAAAGTAATTCAACTTTGTTATCTCAAAAATCTTTGAAGGGGCCAGTATCATCCCTATATTACAGGTATGCAGACTTAGGTAAATGATTAACAATTAATCTCTTGCCATAAATACATAAAAATATAGGAAGTTATTTTTAAAATCCAAGAAAAAGCATTTAGTAAGTTAGCAAACCAGCAATCTTTAGAAGATTAGTTAAAATTAGTTGTATTAAGAATTAAAGCTCAGAAGCAGCATTCTAAAAGTGTACATATCTGGAATGCAAACTCATAATATTTATTCAGCTGTGTATTGACCAGCTGTTTCCAGAAGCATTAACATATAGTTTTAGGAGTATGTGTAGATACTGTTGTCAGTCAGTGTGGGCATCATTTAAGTACTCACAACAAATATGATTATTTTTTACAATCTCACTTAGGTAACATAAAAATAATCATTACACAAATACGGAAGATAAAAAAAATCTCTGCTATACCCCAGATCGGAATCAGAGTGGAGCTGGAGAACTGATGGATCAGTATCCCAATGCAGCGTCCTGACACAAAAGTTTGAAGAACAAGCATGCAGCATTAGCAAAAAAAGGCCAGAGATTAGTGAAGCAAGGCAGTCTATAAAATGTTAAAGCTATTTTATATTACAGTCTTACATGGCTTCAGAGATAAAACACAAAACATATCCGTTAGTGAAAACTGGGTAGACATTCAGAACTGCATCAAAATGTGAAATAAATACATATATCAGTTAAAATGGAAACAGACAACTTTTAGCAATTAGCAGGACTATAATATTCTGCTGACCAATCCATTAGATCATTTTATTAAAATCTTTTCATTATTTTAAAGTGCAACCTCTATGAAACTGGCAAAAAGGTTTTTGTTTTTAAGTGAAGTTTAATATGAATTAAAAAAAACTTAACAAGCCTACAGTCTTACAAAATAACCCGCTCCCTTCTATACAGAAAGGAATACCAAGTTTTGAGGGCTTGTCATAAACAAAGAAATCTCAAAGAACAACCAGAAAAGAGTTTAACCCACTGACAAATTGGTTACACAGATTTAGCCATGCCATGTGATCTGTCTATTAACATATTGTACTCCTGCCCCAAGCATTCAATATGTCCAGGAAATTGTCATATTGGTAAAGGAAATGAGTCAACACATAAGCCTTTAGTACAAAAAAAGGTGCTTTTCCACTGGGACATACTACTGGCTAGTGTTTCCAAGATGTGACATTGCTATAATTATGGGTTAAGCACTGCCTTGGGCTTATGCCATTTAATTTAAAGTCAACTCTAGACAGTCACAGTGTTATAGCAAGCCACAAGCCAAACAACCTCATTCTCAAATATTCAGAAGTCTTAGTGAATCTGAAATATACATCCTGGGGGAAAAACCCAATTAACAGGGCCACCCCACTGGAAATGGTTTCAATGGCTTCCTGGTATCTTCACTGAATAGCAACTTTAAGTTAACAAAAGAATCCAAACAATAAAAAAACAAAAACAAAACAATGTGACGTACCAAAACAAATTACAGTAGTAGTTTTAACCTGTATAAGCTTTATTTTATATATGTTAGTCCTGTGTTCTGCTGATAAGAGCTAGAAAAACCAAAGAAAACTTAAATAAACATACATCTGCAAAATTTAGTAACCATTTTAGTTTACATTTTATTGATGGAGCTGGAATCAACAGCCCCAGCATTACTTAGGAGGGCTGTGGATGGAGGAGTTGCCATCATTCATAAGGACTCCATCTTTCTCACAAGGAAACCTATCCATCCTGCCACCAGTTCTGAGGGCCTGAACCTTGTGCTAGGCCAAAGAGACAGAACAGGGTTGCTGCTGATATGCTGTCCACCTCACAGCCCAGCAGCCTCCCTGCCTGAGCTAGCTGAGGTGATCTTGAGGGTGGTGGTGCTGAGGAACTGTTGTTATGCGGAACTTCAGCATCCACAACAAGGCTGTCCTGACACATCCTGCTCAGGATTTCATAGTTAACATGAGGGCCCAACACATATGGCTGGTCATTCTCTGGACCTGGATCTGTTTTTTGCTACTGGAAGAATGAAGGACAATCTTTTAGGGGGGATTTTGGTAACTCCATCATCATGGTTAAATCATTTCCTTATGAAGTCTGGGTTTGATGACAGCAGGCTTTCCCTACTGAGGTGGGGGGATCCATTAAAACTACCCACCTTCGGAGACTTATGGAAACCAAAGAATTCCTGAGTGCTCCGGGGAAGTTTCCGGTTGACAAACCTACAGTTCAATGCATTCCAATGGGGGGGGGGATTCACCAAAAATTAACGAAGACTCAGAACAAAGCCAAATTAAGTTTGCAAAGGTTTTACAAGGTGCACTAACGATCCCAAACATTTAAAACAGTTTTTGAACATTTCAAGACACTTTAAAAATAGCGAAAACGGACCTGTCAAAACCTTTGAAATGCACTGAATAGGCTTCAATGCATTCCAATGGAGGAAACATTGTTTCACTTAGCGACGTTTCCTATGGCGATTTTCGCTTAAGGACAGTAATCCGTTCCCACTGGAACGGATTATCCGGTTTTCAATGCATTCCTATGGTAAATGGTGTTTCGCTTAGCGATGTTTTCCCATAGCGATGTTTTTTTGGGAACCAATTAACATCGTTAAGTGAGGCACCACTGTAGTTTTAAATAGCCTATGTTTTAAAATTGTTTTATACAGCTTTGTAACCCACCCTGAAACAGAGCATGAGCTATGAATGTTTAACTAACTAATTAACCAACTAACTAACTAAATGGGAAATCACAGTAGGAGCCCTGGTTGCTGTCTTCAATATTAGCTGCAATAACAGAATTCCCAAACTATGCAGAAGCCACCACAGGCTGGGCTTCTTCCCTGTGATGCATGATTCCCTAAACACATTCAGAAAGAGGTGCTTTTGTGACCCTACTATTGCAGTTTTGCAAGTTCCCATAAATGTTACCGACCATATAGTATATGTTCCCTCTCTTATGTACTAAAAATAAATATTAAAGCTTTTCTTATATTCCTATAAAAAGCAGAAGTCTCTTCAATTTCTGTGTGCTTCTGTCAGAAACAAAGAAATAGTCTATATGGGCGAACTGAAGCCTACAGTCACAAGTCAACTACCATAGCATGATTTGCACATGATTGCACCTAATCATGTGTCCATGTTAAATTAAGACCTCTTATAAATAGAGCCTGACATACAGTTTTCTTTTACTGGTGGTTTACAGAATGAGGTGAGAGATTCAGAAACTAATAGGGATTATATTTCACCTTGAAACTCTTGTCTTAAATTCAATCTACAATGCTATTAATCAAAGCGAATTTCTCAGAATATCTCTCAGTTTTAGGAAGGGACTAGGCTCTTCATTATGGGATAATTTGCTGCTCAAACAGAGTGAGATGGAATTGAACTCTGGACATCTCACAGGACAACGGAGATCATCACATCTGTCTACAAAAGCGTCAGTCTCAAAAGCCCGATACTTGCTGGAAGGTCTCTCCCACCAAAACAAAAAACAAACAAACAAACAAACAAACAAAAAACAAACAAAAAAAAAACCAACTAGCCATCTCACCTACTCCTCAACAAAACAAAACAAAACAAAAAAACCACAACTAGCCATCTCACCTACTCCTCGCAATATTTGATATTAAAAATTGTGACATTTAAAGAGGCCAAAAGGGCTAACACAAGGAACTACATTATCTTAGTCGTGGCCCCTTCTCCCCGGAACAAGCTTCAAAAAGAGGCCTGTCAGGTGTCAATTTTTAGGAAATCAATTAAAACAGAATCATTTAAAACTGGCTTTTTACCATGTTTTCCCAAAAATAAGACAGGGTCTTATATTAAATTTTGCTCCAAAAAAAGGAGTAGGCTTATTTTCAGGGGATGTTTTATTTTTTCCTGTTCAACAATCTACGTTTATTCAAATACAATCATGTCATCTTCTGGTTGCTGCACAGTGGTGGAGGGCGGGCTTTCACTTAACTAGGGCTTATTTTTTGGGGTAGGGCTTATATTACGAGAATCTTGAAAAGTCATACTAGGGCTTATTTTCAAGTTACGTCTTATTTTCAGGGAAACAGGGTATTAGTGCTGACTAATTAACCACTGACTCAAGAGATCCAAATCTGTTTTAAATTTGTTTAATTCTATTTAAATGCAGAGATTTTTAAGCTGTGACAGGGCTTTACTTCTTTTATTGTATTTATTGTATATTTGTACTATTGATTTTAAAGTGATTCAGGGTGTTGCGTACCACCCAGAGTGTTCACACTAAAGTGTGCTTCTTGATCAGGTAGCATACAAGTTCAAATAAATGAATACATTTAATAATAACTAAACAAATAAATGCCAGCTAGATAGAGAGCAAATATGTGCACATCTGAAGGTGTAGCTAACTCAGAGTAGAAAACTACATTATAAGGGGCATTTCTAAGAGACATGAAAGAGAACATTAAGAACAAACTGAACTTAACACAATTGTCAGACAAGAGAGAAAGACTATGACCAGCACCTCCAAGGAAAGTAAGAGTCAGGGCAGAAGCTGACAACGTCCAGGCTTATAAGTAGGCTGGAAAAACCCCATCTCTTTCCAGTCCCCTTGTGCCAAATACATCCTATCATCCAATAAGATGAACACCTGCTTTTTCATGATAGAAAACAAAGTGCAAGGATATTTTAAGACATAATACAGTATGCTTAAAGTATATGGATCTGAAGGCAGCATATTACCTTTTTATTCTCCAGAAGTAAATCAAATCTACTACTAGAATCTGAATTAACATCGGCCAAACAACATCTACTGAAGATGCAACAACAGGCATTCAGTATATAAATTATTTGAGTAATCAGGCTATATTAAGATAAAAACATATTACATGCCCCTCAGCCAGTTCATGCTCATCAATCATTACATGGAACTATATATTGAAATATTTTCCATTTTTTCATCCAGCCTTCCCTCAATAACCTCACGTTTAGCTGAAACTTTAGTAAAGTTCACTGTAAATTCTTGGAGCTAGGCAGGGATAAAGAAAAAACATCAGGAAGCAATTTTGGATATTTACAACAACATAGTGAGGAGAGCTGAAATAGATTCTATGACATGTTGAGAAGAATACACCATCATTTAAGATATGCTGGCCAAAATCATTTTGTTAGCATAGTAAACTGCACTAGAGTAGGCCCACTGAAATAATGAGAAGCTGTTCCATAAGTTCTATTGATTCAAATGGGCCTACTCTAATTGTGATGTACTTTAGCACAGCAAGTCACATTTAGAGCAGGGCCATTTGAATCAATAGAAATATGGAGGAATTGATTCACTAAATCGCTACTGATCCAATGGGTCTTCTCTACATTATTGTGATTTACTATGCTACACAACAGAATTTTCACCAGTGCTTCTGTCATACTTGAAATCACTAGTATTGAATATCAAAATATTTATGAAACATACCTAGAACCAACAGCACCATCACCGGAATCCTGGCTGCCAGCTTCACTTGGTGTGCTCACGGATTTTGAAGATGGAGACATAGGAGGGGGGACTAAATAGTGAAACAGACATGTATCCGCTGTTACTAGTCGTAGAGGTTGCACAGCTTAGGATGTTTCCAAATTAATTTAACATGGAAGCATTAAAAAGTGATGGCAAACAAAAAAATAAAATGGATGAAAATGAACAATAGAAAAAAAAGGGAAAAGACAATGTTAACATATCATGCTGGAGACTCATGCAGTGTTTAGCATTTAATGCGTTTTTGGGTTACATAAAAAAAAGTATAGTTTACATAAAATGCTGGGAAAATGAAGATTCCACTAGAACATCTAAACACTATGCTAACAAACTGTTTCCACATAAATTAAAACAAATTATTAAACAATAAAAAATATAACATGAGTTCGACCCAGAGTTCCCATAGGTAGAAATCTCAAAAGAAGCACCTGAAGCAGCTGTTCCCACTTCTATCTTCTACCCTTTGTTCTCTGAACAACTGCTTCCAAAAACTCTATAGGAGGTAGTGCTAGCGGATATGGAGTGGGAGCAATATATGACAATCATTTTTGCTCACCTCTTTCAGCAGAAGCCTGCACTGTATTTCAGTTCCTCCCATTTGCAGAAAAGCAATTTAATTAAGGTGATTTTGCTTTACCTTATAAAGGTACTTATTGATCGAGAGATTAAAAAACCAAGCTCAAACAAAACAATATTACTCATCCCTTTTAAAAAAATGTTTATTTCTTCTAATCAACTAACATTCCATTTTGTTAGTCCTAGGTTTCTTAATAAAGGCTTCTTAAAAGGTGCCGTTTTCAAGACTGTATTATACAGAGTTCTAATTCAAGGCGAATAATGAAAAGTGGCTGTACGCAACCCAAAACATCTGTTTTTGCCTTTCCTTACTCAAGAAAGCACGACTGTATAATGTCCAATGAAAGATGGACTTCTTATGTCTATAAATTGTTTTTAATGAAAAAAACCACAAATTTTTCCTAGTAAAACATTCCTACTGTAAGTATTTCGTTTTAAAAAGCCACACATACATGGAGGTTGGATCCAGAGTTCCTATCAGTAAAAGTCCACTCATGAATAATCTTACTGCAGGAGGGTGAAAGACAAGAGGGTCCTCCTTTATACACCGGTCCTCTGAAAAACTGTGACAGAAAGTTGGGGGATCCTCCAGAATAACATGGCAGGTGGCACAGAAGGAATAATGAAACAGTAAAAAAATATCCTTTCTTGGTACTCTCCTGTGTGAACCACCATTGTTTTCAATCCTTTCTGCAAATGGAAAAGGTACTTCTGTCTGAAGGAGCCAAACTGTAGATCTATGAAACATTACACTGAAGTAAAATGTAACTGAACGCATTCACAGATTTGTTATTTGAATTACAGAAAGGAATGAAAAGTATACTAATATCAGATTTAATTTCTAATTTTGGCAAAACTGTAGAAAAAGTCTGACAGAATGTTCTACTTTCTTCAAGTATCAATATTTTAAAATTACATATTTTATGCATCATTTTTCAGTCTTTTCAGAATACTAAGAGATAAGCTTTGGTTATATGAAAGTATATCTCCTAATTTCTATCACAGCACTGATTTTTTTAAAAAAAAATTTAAATGGGTTTTCATACATCATTATTACACATTACAAAACAATCTGAAAAATAAGAAATGGCCAGTAATCCTAGAATATTGACTCAATGTATTATTTTATTATTTTATAAAGAGATTATTCCCGTTGAACAAAGTTCTTAGTTATGATTTAAACTGAGAACTACTGCCATCTATTGGTCAAAATAGCCTCAAATTTTCAACTACTGCAAAAATCTTTTATGGGAGAAAAAACCTATATGGTTTCCATCACATCAAATCTATAAAAATGTTTCAGATTGTAGTGTCAAAAATACCCAATAGAAATTTAACCTTTTCAGTTCCATGGGTCTGTGGCCAGGTTTTACACACAGCAGAATGAAGTGATTGATATCCTGAAGTGCTAAATTAGGCCATACATCTTCACAGTGCAGATCTGGAATATGATTTTTGAAGAGTCCCTAAAGAAAAAGTTCCCTGCTGTTCAGCACACTCACTAGAGTGGACATTTTCCACTGTCAGAATCTTTTCTTCCATTAAAAGCACAGAAGGTTTTCAAACTGTGGCCACTGAACTGCAGTCTTTTAGAAATATAATCTGTTCTACCTCTTCAAATGTAAACCATTTACTTTGTTGTAAATGCTTCCATAATGGGGTTATTACTGGAGAAAAGCTAAATTTTATCTCTTTTTTTAGCTGAGTTAACATTTGATTAATAAGATTAGCTTTAGAAGGTTTTCTAACAACCAATTAGTATTTGTTAAAGCAAATGTTATTTAAAAAACGTATACCAAATCACATTATGTGCAGGTAAGAACAATTCTAACCGGTAATATACAAATACAACATCAGCTTTACTGCTACGAAACATGCTTATACAAAAGTTGTAAACTAGTTCTGGCCCCAAACTTGGCAGAAGCTCAATACAAGTATTAGATCTCAATGGCTGAAATCATCTTGTGCAGTTACACAAAAGACGTAACTTTTCAAAGCGAATTGTCATAAGAAATCTTCGTAGCCATCCATTGCATGCCAAGTGGTGCAACTCAGCATAATGCCTATGGAGATTCCTTAATTTCCAGCGATTCGCTTCCAAAAGTTACACCTTTTGCATTGCTGTGCCAAAGTATTTCAGCCAATGTGTTGAGACATTATAATTTCATTTCTGTGTCAGTAATAATCCTCCATGAGCAAGATATGAAGCTTCCCTTCATAGTAAAATATGTAACACTTGAGCACTTATGACAACTGTGTTTACTGTGTATCATGTTGCCTCGTGGGCCAAGATCAGACAGCAATATCTAAAATAATCAGTCTCTCACAGAACAGATGTGAGTGTGGCTATTACATTTAGGCTCCCATTACAAAGCACAGCCCCAAGAAACAAACTAAGACTTTCTTCTGAGTAAAGAAACACAGAATGATGTAGTTACAAACAGAATGGCTTAGTTATGAACAGGTACTAGAAACAACTAGTTACACATAATAAAGTCACATGTAACTAGTTATCTTTGGAGTAACAACTAGCAAATTTAACAACTGCAAAGTTATTTTAAAACTATAAAGGATAACATTTAATCTACTAAAGTATAAAATGGTGACTTTCAAAATTTACTTCTAAAAGTATCTTAAGGCATTTTAGAGGCATTCTGGGCAGGAATATTTATGCCATTGTCTTATCAATCTTAAATAGCAAGAGAAGTATTCTTTGGTTCTGTTTCTTTTATTTTTTAAAAAATATAAATACAGTGGTGCCTCGCACAACGAGCGCCTCGTAGAGCGATGAATTCGCTCTACGAGGACGCTTTTGCAATCGCTAATGCGATCGCACAGCGATGGCCCCAATGGGCGAAAATCGCAGAGCGAAGGTCGGTAAGTGGTTCGCTTACCGACCTTCACTTTGCGATCCGCCGATCAGCTGTTCCGCGGCTTCAAAATGGCCGCCGGAACAGCCGAAAGGGCCGGTTGCAGCGTTTTTGCGCCCTTGGTAAGGGGAGGGCGCGAAAATGGCTGCCGGACCCCGGAAGCATCGCTGAACAGTGAGTTTTCAGCCGATTTGGAACACATTAAACGATGTTTAATGCGTTCCAATGGGCTTTTCTCCCCCGCTCAGCGATGTTTCACACAGCGAGGGTTAATCCGGGACGGATTAACCTCGCTGTGCGAGGCACCACTGTACTGTATTTCATAGAAACTACATAAGAATTGGGCAGTCAAAGAAAAGAGCCCAACAGATTTTTCTGGCTTCTTGATAAATACAATGTAATACCTTACTAATGTACAACATAACAAATTTCTTGAATAATTGGAACACTGACCATCAGGACTTGAAAAATGCACTTATCCACTCGTCTGTGACGAGTAAAAAATGCTGCTCGACAAGTCACAGCTCCCTCCCTGCCTGCTTCGTTCCCCTCCACCTGCCTCTCTCTCTCTCTCTCTCTCTCTCATCCTGCAGTCCTGCCCTCTTCTCACGAGAGAAGATAGTTCAAGCGGTACATAGAGATATAGCTCTGCAGGACAATATAGAGTAGTCCCATACTGTAGAATATGGAGATTCTCTGCTCCCAATTTCAACAGAACAAGGACACATCCTGGGGTGGGAGGGAACCGTGGCTCCTTAAGAGGCCGGGTGCTTTTGCTTTCAGTTTTATTTTTGCTGGAGACATTCAAAATACAAGCTTCATGACCCCACAGGCATGAAGATAATAAGGCAACCCAAGTCTGAGGGTATAAATCAGTGATTCCCCGTCCCAATAAACTGCAAGGCTATAGTCTGGTCATGTTGACTGGTGAGACATTCTAAAATTTTTCAAGCCCTGCTGATCATGATAATAGTCACCTGGCTATTCAGACACTATAAGCAACACAATGAGCTTCTTTTAATGTTGTGATGATGCAGAATATCAAACATGATAACCTCTATTGTTCCTACAGAGATTGAGTTCTTTCCTTCCAAATACAGTCTCCTAGAACTGTCATGAAAAATCTCCAATGGAGCACAGGCAGGAACTGTTTTTTGGGGGGATGGAGAGAGAAAAAGGTACCCCGTGACTTTTCAACTTGAGGCCATCATTATTTTTTTCACAGTCACCTTAACAGAGTGGCCAATGAAAGGGGGAACCTCACAGTGTATCCACAGCATAGTTACACTTGGAGTAAGATCTGAAGTTTCTTTTTGAGGCATTTTTATTAAGTCAATAACTTCAACTCACTATGAAGAACTTTAAAGTACTATTATACCTCTGAAGCCAACACGTAAAGAACCCCACAATCCTTCCTGTGCTTAAGGGGCAAATCAAGCATTATTTGGGGCTAAAGGTATTACTACGCTATTCTATGTATACATTTTCTTTCCAAAACTGTCCCTTCAACAGCTTAATAGGGTTTTCCTCCCAGATTTTAACTGGTGGTCTGACATATGAGACCTTTCAAAACAGACATGAAGGACAGTTCAACACATTACTTGTGGTGCTATACAAAAAATGTCATTTCACCAATTAAGAAACTGTCCCACTCAGAGACAACAAAAGGAACCAGCATATGTAGCAACTTTTTCAACAGTTCCTGCAATGCTGCAATGCCCCCTAGTGGCATAGTTCTTGCCCCTTTCATATGCTTACAAATCTACCGCAAGGAATTAACTGACAGGGAATGCACTATACTCATTTTGGAAATATTGTCTTTTAAATATTATATTTGGAATGTTGATGTTTCAACTGAAAACATTTTTTTCAAATGGTAAATGTACTCTTGTGCTCTGTTTTCTATCTCAGAAGAGAATTTGAGACATTTGACCTGAAGATTACCTAAAAGACACTCAGTAGTAGAAATGTTGGCATGAATCAAGTTTCTATGAAAAAACAGAATACTCCCACTAGAGAAAGAACACTGGAAAAACACATTATTATCACACTCCTGCCCCTGTTTAATTTAAGCATTTTTTTGGTTTTAATCTAATTTTTCATGACCCGCATTTTTAAGATTGACTGTTGGTCTGTCACCATTGTGTACCTTACTATAGCTTTAAATTAATTTTTTGTGTCTACTTTTTCATTTAGTGTCTTGGTTGTTGTTTATTATTGAATCTTGGTTTGTGTTTTGTAAGCTGCCCAGAGTAGTGGCCACTAGATGAGTGAGTTAAAAATTGAATCAAATAAATAAATTACTGTACAGCCGTTAATACTTTCCCCACACAGCCCTCTGAAATGCTGCTTTCCAACACCAGCAAACCCTCCAGAAAAGGGTAGACAATGACACAGGGAACTACAGGAAAGATAATTGAAAATCATTCTGCTCTTCTCTCAGAGGAAGCCTTTGATGGATCTCAGTACTTTTCACAAATTAAAGGAGCTATTCTGGATCCAGCTAGTTACTTAGACATACCAATTTGACAACCTTATCACTCACATATTATAAACCAAGTCAATCCAACTTTGGATACTTTTTATTACTTCAGAGATACTTAGTGGTTAAGTTTCTTCTAGAGGGGAAGTTTTAAAAGTTCCTAAATTGATATGTCTCAAACAATGTAACAATAACAGACCAACATTTGGCTACAGCCACTACAATGATCTCATATGTCATTTACTCAAGATGTGATATAGCAAAAAGTACTGAGAAGCTTCAAAGAACAAATTGTGGCAATAATGAACATACAACAATACATGCATGAGTAAATAACTCAATTTTCATGCTGATATTAATGCCACAGTGGATGGTGGGAGACACATTTACACACTACGTTTCTTTGTAATTCTTACCCATAGGAGCATCTGGTGTTAGACCCATGCTTTGAAGCAAGGCTTCAGCTTCTCGTCTCTTCTTCTCAAGATCAGACTCATCTTGTACAGGAAGAGCTTCTTTTTTCTGGTCAGTCTAGGCATTTAAAAAAAAACATTTATGTGGCAAGCTACATTTTCACACACAACTTGCTTTAGTGTGCAAGAAAAAACTTTTTAAAGAGGTAAGATTACTATATTTAAAAAACTAAGTACATGCAAAGGAAAATAATCTAATACGCAACAGTGTTTGTACAATAATGCCTTCTACAAATTTTTGCTCACTTGTTTGTTGGAGGATACACTGAAAACGAGTTCATGTAACAAAGACTGGCTTGGGAATTGAGATTTGACCATTACGGATGTAGTTGTGATCTGCCTGAAATTTTGGGTTTGTAACTAGGAAGGGAGGGATGTGGTGGTGCTGCAGGTTAAACCACAGAAGCCTCTGTGCTATAAGGTCTGTAGATCTTCAGCTCTAAGATCGAATCCATGTGACGGAGTGAGTGCCCGTCGCTTGTCCCAGCTCCCACCAACCTAGTGGTTCGAAAGCATGCAAATGCGAGTAGATAAACAGGGACCACCTTGGTGGGAAGGTAACAGCATTCAGTGTCTAAGTCGCACAGGTGACCACAGAAGATTGTCTTCGGACAAACGCTGGCTCTATGGCTTTGAAACGGAGATGAACACTGCCCTCTAAAGTCGAACACGACTAGACAAAAATTGTCAACGGGAACCTTTACCTTTTTAACTAGGAAATGCTCATGAATCCTACACTGTCTTTAAACTTGCAGAGGGTAGCAGTGGCAAAGTGCACATTTCCCTAACTATATTTAGTGCACCAGGTAAAACTGTTGCCAGGTCAGTCTGATCTAACAACACTTATTCTTGGGTTGATTACATCAATTAAGAGTAATGCAATGTGTCCTACATGTGTCTGGAAACTTCACCTGATGCAGAATGCAGCAGCTAGTCCACCACCTGGTGCACACACCATTACAACCACATCATCCTGAGGTTAAAGAGTGGCTATCAACTGTTTTTCCAGAATCAATTCAAGCTACTGATATTAATTTCTAAAGTTTATGACCTGGATATCTGAGGGATCGCACAAATTTCTTAAAATTAAACCCTTTCTGAGACCTACTGGGTAAGTGGGAAAGGGTTTTTTCCTCTGTTGCTCCTTAACTACCCTCTGATCTGTTTTCACTGTTGCAAATTAACCTTCTATTTAGGAAGAGTATTAAGATAATCTGAACTGAGATTTTAAAGTTGATTTTAGGCATTAAGATTTTTTTACTGTTGATTTTAGAGTTTTGCTATATTTTTTATCAGAAGACAGTTTAATTTTCAATTGTCTACATACCATCTTAGCCAAAACTAGAAAGTCATAAAAAGAGAAAAACCTTTTAAAAACACTATCTTAACAGACAACAAAAAAGGAAGATTTTACAGATGCTCTGGAAAGGAGGGAGATAGCATTGTCAACAGATAGCCAGGTAAGAATCACATACAAGAAATCAGACATAAAGGCTTAGTATAACACAGACAGAAAGTTGGGGTTGTTTTGGTTTGCTCCTACATATTTTAAAACTATTGATGTGCCACAAACTGAGATTATTATGGAAAGGCAAACTTCCAGACACATGTAGGACACATTGCAAGTTTAATTTTGCTTTTTTCCTCCACACTTTCAAACTCCTTATATGCCACACAGTAAGGTTGTCATGGGCAGGCAAATCCCAAGGGATTATTTTTAAGAGTGAGAATTCTTCATGACAGCCCAGTGAGGAAAAGTTCATATGCAAATCATTTTCAATGATCTGTGACCAAATGATATGCACACTCAATATACATGAAACCAGATAATTGCCATGGAAGTCTCCCATAGCCCCATTTATCTTAAGGAGAAACTTTAAAAATGAGGGGATTGGGAAAAAGGGAGATGAGTGAAAGACAAGAGGCTCAGGCATATTCAAAATGCTTAAGGGTTACTCAATAGCACAATAAGAGAAACCTTGGCTGGTTGCACTGGGATTTAGTTATAAAGGTAAGCTGCTGCAGCTAAAAGAATCTACGGCTGAAATTCTGCTGCTCAGCATAGTAAGTAGCACTAGAGCAGGCCTACTGAGTCAGTGAGAATTTGGTGACTCAGTTCCTCCTTAAGTTCCATGTATTCAGTGGTTGTACTTTAGTTGAAATGTACTATAGAGAGAGGGTGGATACAATCAATGAATTTTTAAAAATCAAATTGATTTAAATAATGATTTAAATGTAAAAACATGATTTAATTTAAACTATCAAAAATCCAATTTTTTTAAATTTAAATAGTGATCTAAATAATTTACATCAATTTGACTTTTTTAAAAAATCAATTATTTTTATCACCCTGGTACTATGCTAAAACAAGTAGCAACTAGAGTAGGTCAATTTGAATCAATGGAACTTAAAGAGCAGCTGATTCACTTAACCACCAATGATTTAACAGTGTGATGTACTATGCTAAGCAACAGGATTTCAGCCTATGAGTGGCACTTCATCATTTACTGGGGAGAAATTGGCAGGGGGTAAAATCTGATGGAGCTGAGTCCTATAAAAATAGATTTGGCAGAATCCTAAGGACACATTTCATCCACTTCTGAACTTGTATCTTTAATCAGACCTGGTGCACACAGTAGCAAATGTGCTAATGCATTCCAACTCAACACCTACATATTTTAGTCTATCTCCTAACTTCTCAGCATGTGCATATTAGCAGTTTTAAGATTAGCAATTACATTTTCCAACCCCTACCCCAACCTGAAATTTCTGGATATAGCTAAGAGTGCCATTTCAATTATATGATTCCTATTCTGTGTGAAAATCTTTATCAGTGAAACTAAATATTACTCAATAATTCCAGATTTTCAAGAACTAGCTTTCTCTTGTCAAAAATTTATGCACATTTTAAAACCCAAGGATTCTCACATATGTTTTCAAACATAAAGATACGGAGTATCAGAAAGGAACATGTCAACTTTTTGTAATTACAAGTAATGTAACACACACACAGTAGGACACCCCCCCATATCCACTGGGGATTGGTTCCAAGCCCCCCCCCCCAAGGATACTGAAAATTATGGATAATAGTGAATATATAGCATGGTAAAAGAAAAAAATAACTAGGAAAAAATTATTTTCACCTTTATTGCCAGAACTAGCTACTAGAAGGTGGCAGAAACCACACTATGTATTTTTCACTAACAAGTACAGTACTCATGGCATGGTATCCAGCTCCTTCTAGTGGCTAGTTCTGGTAAGCCGCCTAGAGTGATCGTATAGACCAGATGGGCGGGATACAAATCCAATCCAATAAACAAACAAACAAATAAATAATACACATGAAAATAGTTTTTTTAGATTTTTTAACAAACAAACAAACAAACAAATAATACACATGAAAATAGTTTTTTAAGATTTTTTTAAGTATTTCTAATATTTTCAGGGTGTGGATACGTGAATCAGTGTATACTGATCCCATGGAAAAGGGGGTCCTATTGTACTGAAAAATATTTTTTTTTCTCATTGATGTATTTAGTATTTTTAACACTACCGTGGCATCTCTCTTCTCAGTGTTGTAGGGAAGCTGCTTGCCCGTGTTCTACTGAAGAGACTCCAAGTGCTTGCAGACAGAGTCTATCCAGAAACACAGTGTGGATTTCAAGCTAATAGATCCACCACTGACATGGTATTCTCCCTCAGACAGTTGCAGGAGAAATGTAGGGAACAACAACAGCCGCTCTTTGTGGCCTTCATAGATCTCACAAAGTCCTTTGATTTGGTTAGCAGGGATGGCCTTTTTAAAATCCTCCCCAAAATTGGATGTCCACCTCGACTCCTTAACATCATCAGGTCCTTTCATGAGGGAATGAAGAGCACCGTAGTTTTTGATGGCTCAACATCCCTTTGACATCCGAAGCAGAGTGAAACAGGGCTGTGTTCTCACGCCAAACCTGTTTGGGATCTTTTTTGCTGTCATGCTGAAGCATACCTTTGGAACTGCAGCAGGTGTCTATCTCCAGACTATATCGGATGGAAAGCTCTTTAATCTCTCTAGATTGACAGCAAAGACCAAAGTCCAACTGAAATGCATGCGGGACCTCCTCTTCACAGATGATGCAGCCATTGTTGCTCACTCTGCTGAAGACCTCCAACAACTCATGAATTGATTTAGCAAGGCCTGCCAAGACTTTGGACTAACAATCAGCCTGAAGAAAACACAAGTCATGGGCCAGGGCGTGGACTCACCTCCCTCTATTACCATCTCCACGCAAGAATTGGAGGTTGTTCATGACTTTGCATTCCTTGGCTCAATGATTTCTGACACCCTCTCCCTAGATGTCCAGATGGATAAACGCATTGGCAAAGCAGCTACCATGTTCTCAAGACTCACAAAGAGAGTATGGCTCAATAAGAAGCTGACAACATATACCAAGATCCAAGTCTATACAGCCTGTGTCCTGAGTACACTCCTGTACTGCAGTGAGACCTGGACCCTTTCTACATGCAGGAGAAGAAGCTGAATACCTTCCATATGCGTTGCCTCCGACGCATTTTTTGTATCACCTGGCAGGACAAAGTTCCAAATAGAGTAGTCCTAGAACGAGCTGGAATTTTTAGCATTTATACATTACTGAAACAGCAACGTCTACGTTGGCACGTTGTGAGAAATGGCTGATGGATGGATTCCAAAAGATCTCCTTAACATCATCAGGTCCTTTCATGAGGGAATGAAGGGCTCCGTAGATTTTGATGGCTCAACATCAGATCCCTTTGACATCAGATTCCAAAAGATCTCCTACATGGAGAATTAGTGCAGGGAAATTGCCCCAGAGGGAGACCACAGCTGTGATATAAGGATATCTGCAAGTGGGATCTGAAGGCCTTAGGAATGGACCTCAACAGATGGGAAACCTTGACATCTGAGCCTTCAGCCTGGAGGCAGGTGGTGCATCATGGTCTCTCCCAATTTGAAGAGACCCTTGTCCAGCAGGCCGAGGCAAAGAGGCAGTCCCGAAAGCAGCAAAATCAGGGAGCTGGACAGGAGACAGATTGTATTTGTCTCCAGTGTGGAAGGGATTGTCCCTCTCGAATTGGCCTTCTCAGCCACACTAGACACTGTTCCAAGTCCTCCATACAGAGCATGTTACCATAGTCTCTCGAGGCTGAAGGACGCCTACAGATATTTAGTGTTTTAGGATGCCTGCCAATTCTGCACTCAAAATGCATGCATTTAAAAGACCTAGTTCATCAGCACACCTTAAATGTTTTACTGAAATAAGGCCAGAATTCCTACCAGCACTTGTAAAGTCTGTATATCATCCTTGCCAACTGTGCATGTTAGGAATGTACAGGATTTATTTTGTATCTGCTTTTGTGTTATTGTTAAGATATCTTAGGCTCTTAAGATCAGGAAGCAGCTAAATCAGTGCTGCACTTCTTTATTAAAATTGATATTCCACCTTTCCTCCAAGGAGCCTGCAGTGCAATACACTACTTTCTGTCACTCTGCTCTCACAGCAAGGTAGCTTAGTCTGAGATATAGTGACTGGCTGAAGCTCAGCTAGACAGCTCCATGGTTGTATGGAAATGTGAATCAAGAGCTCTCTGACAAAGTTCCAACTATTAAACTACAAGAGGAATCAAATTCTTTTTAAAAATCTGGAAACAATCTACCTTTTACACAATTTCATCTACAGTACCATGTTTCCCTGAAAATAAGACAGGGTCTTATATTAATTTTTGCTCCGAAAATGCATTAGGGCTTATTTTCAGGGAATGTTTTATTTTATAGTCATGTCATCATCTGGTTGTTGCACAACACTGCACAATGGTGGACGGCAGGGCTTCACTTAACTAGGGCTTATTTTGGGGATAGACCTTATATTACGAGCATCCTGAAAAATCCTACTAGGGCTTATTTTCAGGTTAGGTCTTATTTTTGGGGAAACAGGGTAGTACTTCGGTTTATGAACGCCTCGGTTAACATAATTTTTGGTTTACGAACAGAAATCCATAGAAAATAATGCCTCTGTTTACGATTTTTTCTGCAGTACAAAGGAAGTTTCCCCAGGATGCATTGTGCCTGGAGGTTTACAGCGCTGCCCCTGTTCCTATGGCAAACTGTGTTTCATTTTACGAATTTTTCGCATTACATAACATCCCGGGGAATGCATTAAATTCATAAACCAGGGAACGCATTAAATTCATAAACCGAGGTACTACTGTACTATACTTTGAGGCACATCATTAATATTCTTCTTCCACTACCAAAGAGATCTATAGTAGCACAATGAACACATGCAGTCCAGAGATGTGACCATTTGAGTGGGGATAAAAAAAAATCACCCCATTCACCATAAACTAATTCTATGAAATTAAATGAAGTCATTTATCTTTTTAAATAGTTACAGACTTTCTTTTATCTATATAAAACTTTGAGCATATGAGAAAATAGTCTTCAGGAAGATGCAATTAGAAAAGGCCTTACTTCTTTTTTCTTCCTTTCTTCTTCCTTTCTCTTCTTTTCTTCTCTAATCTGAGCCAAGCGTTGTTTCTTGCGCTCTAGCTCTGCCTTTAGTTCACTCTTGTCAGACATGATTAGAATTCTGTAAAGATAATAATGACTGTATTTATATATAATTGTATATAATTTATATATACACAAAAAACTGTCATAAACATGACCTGTTAGGATGAATATATAACTACAGTGGTGCCTTGCTAGACGATTGTCTCGCAAAATGAGGAATTCGCTAGATGATAACTTTTTGAGCAATATGGTGATGCTTTGCAAGATGGTTTTCCCCCCCATTGAGACACATTAATTACATAAGACCTACTTTTTTATCCCAAAAAAGTGGGGGAGAAAGTGTATGCTGCTGTTTTTCCTGGAAAGCCAGCAGCATACACTCCCCCCCCCCACACACACTTTTTGGGATAAAAAAGTAGGTCTTATGTAATTAATGTGTCTCAATGGGGGGGAAAACCATCTTGCAAAGCATCACCAATGGGGCTATGGCTGCAAATTTAAATGGTAGAGGATGGTGAAAACAGCCAGGAGCCAAAGGGTAAAGAGATTGTTAAAAAAAAAAAAAACCAGAGAAATCATAAACATAATGCCCCCATTAACACTAATTATGCAGTTGAGTTCCCCACATTTGGGGAAATCACAGGGGTCAACAGCACACCCAAACTGCAATGGACGAGCCTCTCCCTGGGAAAACTATTTTAACAACATGGTACGTATTTCCCCTACAAGGTATGAGTTGGAATGGCCCTTGCATCTCCTACCCCCTTCTGTCCCCTGACCCCCCCCAGAGGCCAAGAGAGCTCCTCAGTGTTTTGGGGTGCCCTGCGGGACCCCCATCAGGGGCTAAGTGTTCCTCCCACAATCCTCTGGTGCACAGGTATTAGCATATATTAAAATCGTCTTGCGAGGCACCACTGTAGAAGAAACCTCAAAAAACAAGTGCTTTGCACCAATATACTAGAACCTCCATATTTTGCATTTGTGTGTGTGTGTGTGTGTGTGTGTGTGTGTGTGTGTGTAGTATTAATATTCCCAAACTAACAACTTTCTATTAAAAGCATTGTGCTCAGTACCACACACGCTGAAGAACAGCCATTACAATTGCTTTGTTTGGGTGGGAAGTGGTTAACTGATGAAAAAAGGAGTCAGGATCTGGGATTTTCACTTGCTTAGTGTGTGTTTGTGAATGGTACTGAACATAAGAGAGTATCCTGTAGACCAGTGGTCCCCAACCTTTTTGACATCAAAGAAACATACACCCCCTTTAACCTCTCAGGTAAATTAATGTTATCATGCCCACTCCACACAATGCAGACTAGAAAGCAGTCTTCCAATTTGCAAACCCCTGCTCTACAGACCTACTGCCTGCCTATTTTCCAAAAGATTTCTCCTCTTCTTCTGAAATAAAAAAGGCAGGCTGGGAGTTAGCAAAGACTGTCACTTGAAACTAAGGTTAAAATCATCTATACTACATAAAAGGTCAACAGTGAAGGAAGGCAAAAGGAAAATAATCACATTTAAAATGTGGTGTTGTAGAATAACTTTAAAGATACCATAGAGCCAGAAATGCAAATACAGTGGTGCCTCACTTGACAAGGATAATCCATTCCAGCAAAATCGTTGTAGAATGAAACTGTCGTCAAGCGAAAGTAAAAAAAAAACATTGAAATGCACTGAAAACCAGTTCAATGCGTTCCAATGGGCGAAATACCTCAGCGTCCAGCGAAGATCCTCCATAGGGCGGCCATTTTCTGGTGCCTGTAAAGCGAAAAAGCCTTCCTAAACACAGCGGGGAGCCATTTTGAAACAGCGGGTGGCCATTTTGAAACCCGGCGATCAGCTGTTTTGATCGTCGTAAAGCGGAAAATCGGGTCCTGAAGCAGGGAACCGATCGTCATCAAGCGATTTTTTCCTATTAAGACATCGTTTTGCGATTGCTATTGCGACTGCAAAATACTCATCATTAAGCGATTTCCTCGTCTAATGAGGTAATCGTCAAGCGGGGCACCACTGTAAGTGGATGTTCAATCAAGTCAAGTCTGAACTCTCACTAGAATAAAAATGAGTAAATATATAATGGGAATACAGAACTGAGTGGAAAAGACAATACTGCTTGAAAGGGAGGATAGCAGGAAAACAGGAAGACATAAGAAGAGATCGGTTGACTCACCAAAGGAATCCACAGCTATTAGCATGCAAGACCTGAGCAGAATTTACTAGAAAAGACAATACTGTTTGGGAGAAGGAAGTAGGAAGAGAGAACAATCTAATACAGGCACTAATATTCGTTTCATTTAGTCGTTTAGTCGTGTCCGACTCTTCCTGACCCCATGGACCAGAGCACGCCAGGCCCTCCTATATACTCCTCACTTAATGACTGAGTTCTGCTCTTACAACTAGGCTGTTATTGGTCAGTAAGAGAGGAGCAATAATATTGTATTGAGTAATAAATCACATGCCATTGAGAAGGGATCTGGCGAAGACACAAGCAGAGATTTACAAGAGTTGTAAAGGGTTATAAACCCAAGTGGGCGTTAAACAGTTAGGTTGTTAAGTGATGAGTGCCTGTATGAGATATTGGTTTGCAAGATCTGAGCAGAGCTTTTAATGGCAGGCCATAAGAAATGGGCATGAATATGGTTTGTCTGCACAGCTGTTCTGCGGATGCCCCGACTCCTCCTGTACTGCCTCCTCCATCAGGCACCTACTCAGAGGCAGTGCCTGAAGGAAGCAAGGCTGGAAAGCTGCACTGCTGCCTCTGAGTGGGTACCCATCAGACGAGGTGGGGCAGGGGAAGCCGGGGCACTCAAAGACCAACTGTGCAGCCAAATCAATGAACCGCATCAAATCATGCTCATCTCTATAGACCAGGGGTCTCCAAACTTCAGAATGAGAGCCACAACATATACGTTGCACATTTTTGAGGGTCAAAGAAAGATGCACGCACTACCCCACAGACTCCAGCAAGCATACCAGGCCAGATGTGACTCACAGGCCATAGTTTGGAGACCCCCGCTATAGACCATTTAGGACGTACTTAATTAATATAGTCAGCACACATCAGAAGTGACTTGATGGCACATCACATCCCTGGAGTCTTTTTTTTAAACTATTGAGCAATTATATAGTAACAAGATGTGTGGAAGTAAGACTTTGACAGGAGACTATGACACAATATGGGCACCAAAGCTCTACAAACATCAAACAAGACTACCCCCAGGCTCAAAGCAAAACCCAATAATTTCACAGCCTAAACAAGTGAGCATCTGAATATTTGTTCTTTATTCTTTAGTATATATTTAAAATATTCTAAATATCTGTATTTATTAAACAATTAATACTTTCTGCATCTCCAGTTTTACAACCAGGCACAGAACTGCCTTGCAAACATGATTTTAATAAGTATCTTTGGCCAGGAAATAGTTAAAAAGTTAGCTAAGAATCAGTTACTTGTGTTCTGATTGACGGGGTCAAAAGTTCAGATCCCCCAGACTTGGAGCTCAATTCCCCTTTGAAAATACAGTATGAAGAGAGAGTGTTCACTGAAGATACATGGCAAAATATCACCCTTTCTGGAGGACTGTCAATCCATTACTGTACTTTCTTTACAGAAAAGTTGTTGTGTGTGTTTTTAAAACTTATTCATTCTGTTTTTGTGACCTTTCTCTCTAAATATCTCCCTCCCCAGCTTATGAATGTACACAATGTTTCATTCCAGGAAGCTCCTGTTGGCTAGCCTGTACCACAAATGCTCAGTCTTATAGAGTAACAAATTAGCTGTTTTTCCCTTTTTTAAAAAAATCTCTTTTTTTGGAGGATCAATGTTTCAGCCCCCGCAGCCTGGATTCTTTCCAAATTAAAAAAGTGGGTGCAGCCCATCATTCTCTTTGAAGATAAGCAAGACCAGTATTTTCAAATTATGTAATATGTTTTAAATCTAGGGATGCTTAGGGCCACCTATTTATAAATGGGGGGAGTTCTGCTTGCAAAATTCATAACTCGAAAACCCTTTGCCCAAATTTAGCACAGATCAAGAGCAGACTGTCCATTACAAATGTGCCACATCTGTTGCTGATCTGAAGCCCAGTTTCAAAGCTATAATTTTTTGTTTGGGCTACCCCCATTTTTACAATTACCTTATAGAATGTCAGCACAAGATCACTGTTTCATTCTTCTGCAGCAATAACCATATACATGTGAACATACATATGTATACACATACTGTGCATTATACATATATGCTTCCTTTATTTCATATAAAGGTGAGCAGAAGAATAAACTAAGGCCTTTCAGACATAGCATAATGTTGATATTTTACATGATCTTTCAGATAAAAGATTATTTTATCAGATGTGATAATCATTTATAGGCAGGCAAAGAGGGCAAATTCTACATGCCTTTACTGTTTCATTTATTTTTTTCAATTTGATATACCACATCCACTAGTGTCGCAGCACTACTCTGGGCGGTTCACATAAATTGAACAGTCAAATAGTTAATATGATAAAGCCATAAACATCTAAACTATAAAAACAGAGGGCGCCAGAGCATTAATAAAAACTGAACAGAAACAAGAAAAATAATGAAGACAGACAGCAAATAACTGAACAGAGATGTAAAAGTATCTTGGCTCAAATAGGGTCAAAGTGGAAGGCCTCCCTAAAGAGCCATGTCTATAGTTGCTTCTTAAATGTCGCCAGGGAGGAGGCCAGGTGAAGCTCCCCAGGAGCTAATTCCACAAAGATGGAGCCACTGCCAAGAAGGCCCTACCTCTTGTAGAAGACTTATCGGTCTCCCTCTGTGTGGCTACCCAGAGGAGCTTCTTCTTTGATGACCTAGTGAGTCAGGCAGTTGACATCATGACAAGATGCTCTGACAAATTAGGCGATCAACCTAAGCTGGCTAAAGGCCGATCTGGACAGGGTTGCAATCTGGGTATTCCAAGAAAAAGCCATGTCCAGAAACAAACCCAAATTCCAAACTTGGTCCCGAAGTAGGAGGTCAATGTCACCCAGTATAGGGATCCCCCAACTTTTCAATGGACTCCCCCAGGAACACAACCTCTACCTTTTCCAGGTTCAGCTTGAGCCCGTTTGCGCTAGTCTATTCCACTACCAAAGTCAGACGAAGCTCAAGTGTCTCGATGGGATCCACTACAGGGGCGGCAAATAAGAGACAGAGCGGGTGTCACCAGTGTACTGATGACACCTCACTCCAAATCTCCTGATGACCTCCTCCAGCAGCTTCACGTAATGTTGAACAGCACTGGGGAAAACAACGACCCTTGAGGAACCCCACAAGTGAGGATCCAAGGGGCTGACACATCATCCCCAAGCTGCACTCTCTTAACCCAGTCCTCAAGAAATGGTATATTGGTGATCGGACAGAAATTATTAAGATAAAGCTAGCTTGGGGCATTTGATGATGGGTCAGATGATGGTTTCTTTAATGCAGGGAGGGAGGAACCCTCCTTCAAATATGTATTTGGAATATTCATGACCCATTCAATCATAGCCCCCTTGGCTGCTTTGATCAGACAAGCTGGGCAACGGTCAAGCGAGGAGGCACTAGACGGCTAGCCTCCCAATACCCCAGAGGCTTCCTCCACTGACACCAGGTCAAACTGAACCAATCAGGCAGGGAGAGATGGTGCAATGATGGCCACACCCAGGTCAACTAGTCTGCTGGTGGAGTCAAGGTCAGTGTGGATGGCCTCAATCTTTTATTTGAAAAAAGCTGCAAAATGATTGCTGGAAAAATCAGAATGGGACCCTAACTGGCCAGAGTTAGCCAGGTTGTAAACCACATGTAACAACTATGCTTGTTGATTCAGGACCTCCCCTACAATCCTAATGTTAAATGCCCTCTTTGCCATTTTTAGGACACCAATATACCTTCTGGTCATGATTTTAACAGCTGCCCAATTATAAGCCAACTTTAAACTACGTAATATCTATGATATATGAATAATATTACATACAACAAAAAATGAAAGAAAACTACAGCTACGTACATCTGCAATGTGCATAATACTTGTAAATTTGTTCCTCTTGATCATCTCACATGACACTCATAGCATCAGTTCACTGCTTTGATCTGGCCTGCTATTTTGAGGCCTGTGACTTTTAACACTGTAATGGGCCATTGCGTTTGCAAGCCTTTAAAATGTTACACGATTCTCCTGGCCTCTTCCATCCAGAAAAGAAATTTGAAAGATTTAAGCGCATCATTTTAAATAAAAGTGGGCCCACGGGAGACTTGCCCCCTGCCTGGATTTTCCCACCACCATCTCCTCTCTGCCTTTCCTTTCACCAAATCTCCACGGAAAGGCAGAACAGCAGCAGGAAGTCACAGATGTGCTGTTGCTTTTGTTTTCTCTGCTTTGCGTTATTTCGACTGCATAGTTAATAACAACCCTCGATGCTGAGAGGAAAAAAAAAGGAAAAGAGAGGAGCCCCGCCAGGGGCCACAGGGGCTGGGTTGCCATGGCCACGTTGAAGGGAGAGGAAAGAGAAAAGCCGCGCGCGGGGAGGGGGAGGGGGAGGTCCGCCTCGCGGGCGTTGCCGGTACAAACGCATCCCCCCCCCG